AAGTGTTAAATGCAGCATTGCTAGTCAGCTTTCTTTTTGTAAGTTCCTAAATTAGAAGTTTTTGTAGACATAAATCAGTCCCACAATTTTTCTTAATGCTTCATTTCAGGATTAAATAGTTTTAAGACAAATTGTATCTGAGTAATGATGCCATTGTCATTTACGACAAAAACACTTTTCAGTTTGCTTGTGACATAAGAAGACATGCATATTAGGGAATTTTGTATTTACTTGAATTAATGTTTTCTTCTAGAAGACAGCTTTGCAGTGGATACTTGCTCTGGAAATATAACATGGGAAATGGAACAGCATGAATCACTTGAAATAGAAGTGTCAAATGATAGACTAGCTCTAGATGTACACAACTGCACAGAAGTGAGACTTGAGAGCTTTCAACCTTCAAGTACATCAGACTGTTTAACTTTACAGGGTGAAACATTGTCAACTGTTGATGTAGGAAGTTTACAAGAAGAAATCATGTAAGCAAACTCAAAGTGGAACACAGCGAACAAAGTGAGTCTGAATTCTGTAACTCAGTAGCATCTGAAAAATCTAGTCAGACGCCTGTCTGGTCAGTGCATGAAGGAAATGATCATGAAAACTGCAGAGAACATCAGGAGGAAGCATATGACAGAAATTTTGAAGATTCTAAGAGTTCTTGAGTTACATAAAATCTTCTCTAATGCCATGGGAGTGTATCATTTGCTTGAGTCTCAAAGTTTTTTTTCCTATACAAGCTTTGAAAAAATGGCAGTCCAGTAAAAAGTGATTTAATGAATTTGTGAAATAGAATATTTTACTGGAGAAAAATACTGGAAAATGTGGATGACAGATGAAATAGTAATGTTTGAGATCAGATGAAAGTGTGGAACTCTTCTGTAGGAATACAGAATCATTCAGGCATTAGCTCATCATGGTGCTGCCTCACTGTCATACTGTCATCTCAAACTGAATTGAAACTGTAAAATAATGTATTGTTACTATTCTTCAGATCCATATAGTTTCTTTGGAAACTACCTCTTAGCTGTACTACAAATTCATAGTGAAAGTAAAAATAATACGCTCAAAGTGAAAGCAAGCCATTATTAGGAAGATGTATAGAGGCATTCTTTAAAAAACATGCTGAAATATATATTTTTCTTACTTGATGTTAATTTATTATTACTTCCATTACCTTGGCTGAATCCAGCATTACAACTAATGAATTTGAATATATTGAATAATACAGCAATAGAAGTGGGAACGTAATTCCTGATAATCTGCACTGTTTGCTAAATTGTCCATTAGGATGAATTACCTAAATACATTGCACTGCTTTTTGGCAAAGTAAGCTATTAGACAGTTATCTGAATTACTAATGAATGTTTTTAATCTTACTTTTTTGTCTGTATGCTGCTAGTTAAGTGTAAAGAACTGGGTTTCCTAGCTATGCTTTCACTAATCAGAGGTAGGCTTCAAATTGAAAAGTTCACTTCTGGAAGGAATAAGTCATCACAGGTCCATCTTCTGAAACTTGGGAATAGGGAAATACTTTGTTTTACTTTAGGATGCTACACATAAAATTAGTTCCCATTTAATGACAGCAAATCATGCATTAGTTAAATTTTAAGCTGTGGGTCATATTCAAGATGCATTCACTGAGCATAATCTAACCTCTAATTGGTCTACTTGTAGGTTGTAGCATGACATGTGTACCTAGACATTTTTGTCTGTTGGTTAAGCAAACCCAAGTTAACATAGTAAGTAATTGTATCTTAACTTTGGGTTGCGTAATTTCCTAAAAACCCAAACTGTCCAGATCCACATGTCGTGCAACATTCAGTCTATCTGATCAAAAGTTGCTTATACAGTACATGAACCATGGCAAATCATAGATTAATTAATGCATGATCTGGATTGTGTGTGAATGAAATCATATAGTCCTTAACATCTTGTTCCGATCTGGCCATTGTAGTGCTTTAAGCATGGCATCTGTTCAACTATGGTACTGATGGAACTGTAGTGGATCCAGTTGTGAGGTGGCTTATTTAAATGCATCTATAATTTAATGTGTGAAGCATTATTGTTGTGTGCCATCAAGCCCCCCCCCCCTTTTTTTTTACCTATTGTGATCCTGTGACTGAAAGCACTCCAAAATGTTCTGTCCATGACCACTCGATTCTGTTCTCCCAAGTTCAAGGCTGCGGCTTCCTTTATTTGGTGTTTTGTCTTCTGCCTTTGACTTTCCTTAACATGTTTGTCTTCTCCAGTGAGATTTGGCTTCTCATGATGTGTCTGAAGTATGACAGCCTCAGTTTTGACATTTTTATTTCTGGGGAAAGCTCTGGTTTGATATGATTTAGGATGCACTTATTTGCCTTTCTGTCAGTCCAGGGTATTCACAAAGCTCTTCTGCAGCACCATGTCTTGAATGCTAATGAGGCATTAGCAATGGTTTGTTCAAAGCAAGCTCCAAATTAATCTAGTCTTCCTTTTGGGAAAGTGAACGTGCCCTGTTCTTAATAGTAAATGTTAATTGTATCCATGTATACATGGACTTTTTCAGCCCCGAATAGCCACATCTTAAAGTGTTTAAGTGGAGACTCCATATGTCAGTGGTTTGTGACTCGAAAGAAGTCCTGAGTGAGAAGTCCAAAATCCACTCCCTAGCACAAAATAGCTGATTTCAGTGTGGCTGTTTACAGGCTGCGCAGATACAGGCTGCGCAGTATTATGTTTACCTGGGAGTAAATACTAGTGAACTCAGCTGGATGACTTTTGAATATAGATGTATAGGGTTGCAGAGGTCTCAGGGAAGTACCAGGCTTAGGATTAGGGTTCAGCTCAGACAGAACCTATAGTGTTTGCTTCTTGGAGTGACAATGTACAGGTGCACAGTAGCCATTGTGCCTTAAAAACAGAATAGGCCTGTATTGCTGAAAAGAGCAGGAAGTAGGTTTATTTTCCCTCTAGGCCATGAGTTAGTGGCAAAGGCAGGGATTTTACATGATAGTTAACTGCCTCAGCTAAATTTCAGCAGGAGCTGTTTAGTTTTCCTTTGTTCAATTTTGAAGGACTTCAGTATGTTCCCTAGGAGATTTGAGTATACTCTGCTTGTCATTGCACATCAATGCCTATTCAACATGTGCCTTGAAGTAATGAAGAGTGTTAAATGAGTAGCTGTATTGCTGGGGTAAGGTTGCTGAGCCACTCAGATTCCTGGTTCAGGTAGATTTGGAGGGTGACTAATATGAACTGAACTGCTTGTGTGAAAAATAGCAAAATTTATTGATTACAGGAGACTGCAGGTGGCGCAGTGGTTTAAACCACTGTGCTGCTGGGCTGGTTGATTGAAAGGTTGCCGGTTCAAATCTGCACAATGGGGTGAGTTCCCGTTGCTCCATCCCAGCTCCTGCCAACCTTGCAGTTCGAAAGCATGCAAATGCAAGTAGATGAAAAGGTACCACTTCGGTGGGCAGGTAACAGCGTTCCGTGCACTTCGGTGTTTAGTCATGCCGGCCACATGACCACGGAGACTGTCTGCAGACAAATGCTGGCTCCCTCAGCTAGGAAACGGAGATGAGCACCGCCCCCTAGAGTCAGGCATGACTGGACTTAATGTCAAGGGGAAACCTTTACTTTTACCTTTTATTGATTACCAAGTTGGACTATTAATGCAGAATATAAACTAATGTGAAAAAGTGTGTCTTCTCCTTCTCTGTAATTGCACTGTTACCCAGAATGCATTGAAGTGGCTGCAACATATTTGAGCAACTAATGCACTGGTTCCTCTTCCCAAAGCAAGAGCAAGGAGACTTGGCATGGATCTGATATGCTTCTCTCAGCCCATTCCAGAGGTTGTCAGTGAAATGCTGGCCTGCATCCCCCCCCCCCCCCAAGAAACAATGGGTGAAGTGGCTTCAATTAAGAAAACAGCTTTTGTTATCCAGTGTGGTTGAGGGGTGCAGTTACAGAGGGATTTACCTCTGGTCCTTTTCCTAGCTGGAGCAAACTTGTGCCATGTGTGAAACTCTAGCAAGGCTGCAAGAAAACTGTATTGGCTTCTGGGCGTTTCATAAGTTCTCTGTGCTACTCGTTCAACCTTGAAAACCACCTCACCATTCTTCTGGTATAGGCCAATCATCTTGGGGCATCTCCTTCCGCCCTAGAGAATAACCACCCATTTTGGGGGCTCCCATGCTTACATTGTAGGAGCCAATTATTGGTGGGCAGTTGCATGATACCGATAAGGTTTATGCTACCTATTATTTGCATGTGATTACTTGCCATGTGTCTCATTAGCATGGAAGGCAGTATTACCCACAAGCATGCAATGTTACCTGAATCAGCTGGAACAGAACCCTTTCAGGCATTAGCCCTCAGTACGAGAAAAGGATCATGTTGTACACCCATGTCCCCACCAGGGCACACCACGTAACTCCACTTGGATAGACTGTTCTAATTGTATGACACCCAGATGAATATGGGTAGAGCTGGTGTGCCCTTCAGACCTTTCTCCAATGTGTGAATGGTACGGTCCTAGTCTCCAAGATATATTCACTTCATAATCCTCCCCTTAACAGGATATCCTGATAAAACTGAAAAACTTGGCCAACATCACCTAATTTGTATTATGGATAGATGAAAGATTTGTTTGGTCTAAATTTTTATATGCACACAATTTGCACATTCATTTATGAACCTAGATGTGGAATGTAGGATATAGAACTATATGTTTACCAAAAATCTGCATTCTTCATAACTGTATAATGTAATGCACATTGGAAAAATAAGCATTAGATAAGAAAATGAGCAAAAAAATGTGTTTGGGTAAAAATCAATTGCAAGATATGCATACTAGGAAAGGCACGTACAAAAATGGAAGACTGGGAAGAAACACGCATGGGGGTTTGTGCTGAATTCAAACCAATGCAGAAACAGGCTGGGAAAATGAAACTGAGAAAAAAAATCCAAGCTGACAGATTCACCTACTGCTAAATACACAAAATAAATACACAAAATAAGTATGAATGAGCATTTACTTTGGAAGCATAAATCCTTAGGTAATATGTGGTTTGTGATGTGAATCTTCAGGGTCAAAAGAAAGGGGAGAGTTTGATCAGATGCTAATTATCATGAAACCTAAGAACAGATTTTACAAATAGCGTAGGCGTAGTTAACCAAGTTATATTTTAAAATTAAATTACAAATAGAACTCAGAACTGTGTTTTTCTAAAAAGTTGTCAATAAATATAGCATGAGAAGAAAAATATTGTCAACATGTTGTAACAGGTCCATTTGCTGCTTCAGTTCCATCCAAGAGTTTTTAATGACAGACTTCAGGTTCAATGAGTAATGAACTATGTTAAAGTGGTCTGAGTCCTGTTTCCAGTAACATGCTTTCTAATAGTACTTTGCTGGTATCCTCAATGTAGGGTTGATATAACCATGATGATAAGTAGACCATCAGCAGATCTTGGTCAGCAGTATGAGCAATCTCTTGCACAATGGTTTGCTTAAGTTTTATTTCTTCTGAGTACATGTCTAAGAGCTTGACAGAAACTTCATCTGAAAGAGAGAAAAACAAATGAAGTAGCTCCACAAGTTTTCCATATGTATTCCATTTTTGGAACTTGTTTTTTATGTACATTACTCAGATTACTTAACTATATTATTCATATCACAGCTTTCTAGTATTAAGTAATGCAAATACAGTCTATCATTCATCCTTGCCTAATGTGTGTGTCTCGTCATGCAACTAAAATCCAGGTACAAGTATTATGATAGATACACTCTAGTTTACTTGGATAGAAGTCTTGGAAAAGCATTTGTGTGATAACCTGAAGCCTTCTTTAGCCAGATTCAACCGTCGAGCTGCATTGCATTGGCAAAATGTATAAACTTTTCTCCTTGGAAAGGAATAAACATAGTTTCATAAATGAAGGCTATACTTACAGAAATAGGGAGTGGGCCATGTGTGGAAGAATGGTGTCTTATGATCTCCATGATGGTATGTTTCTAATTCACAGATCCCTTTAGTTGTTGAACACAATTTTTCCATTTTCTGATAAATTTTTTCCTAGTGAAGTTTAAAATAAGCATACATTTAGTTTTATTTAAGAAGTAACTACTCTTTGGGCACAATTCAGTGCCCCCCCCCCATGTTTGACACACGTAAGCATCTGAATTCAGAGGTGTTAATTGCATCAATACATCAAGTATACTTCATTACACCTATATAATATATACCTCACACCCTGCAGCAGGCTGGGCTCATTTGGATATTGGCTCTAGCTTCTTTCCCACCTGAACCCTGGGATACCTCTCTTCTTCCTCTCCAAGACCAGTTGGAGAGACAACTGGCAGAGTGCTTGGCATTTGGAGGTCCTGTTCTGAGGTAGCAGAATCCTAGATCTGGAATGTTGAATGCTCTGGCCTGTCAGACACAGGATTGCATTCTAATTCAAAGCTAAGGAATACATTTTACAGACCCCTAGTCAGGATAAACCATTAATATTGAACGAAATGTTATAGTTTCCAATGGATATTTTTCAAAGCAGACATTAAGGGTACAACACTATATATGTTAAAACAACTCTCAGCATTCCCTATGCAGTATGCATCCTCAGAATGGCTTTAATTCTTTCCCCAGGCACTTTGCAATGACTCAAGTAGAAATTAATTTTAAATCTGGTTATTATTGAAGTATTCTTGCTTATCTGGATCTTAAATAAACATGCAAAACTAGTTACTAAAAAGCCACCTAGATTTCCTACATGAGAGTACCATCTCTTGATCTAGAACAGGGTGCAGAACCTCTGGGTCGGGGGCCAAAACTTGGAGATTCCCCCCAATAACTAGTGGTTTCCAAGCTTTTGGGGTGTTTTCCCTTATTCTAATAATAAAAGGTTAAAATGCCTTTCCTAATGCAGTTACTAGCAGTAACAGCTTTAAGCTAAAATATGTTGGTATTCCCCCTTCTGCTATTTGCTTTTGGCCCTACCTACCATGGGAATGTTCTCCTCAGAATCTTCTCTGAAATGAAGAGCAGTCCTCAGGCTAAAGATGTTCTGTACCCTGATCTAAGGTGAGTGGACTAGGCAATGTTTTGTTCAATGTGAATGCTTGAAGATACCATTTTTTTGAAGGTCCCAAGTAGTTCTGTACAGCACATTTCCAATTCCTCATTGTAGATATGTGGCAGTTTTCCAGACTCGGAGTCAGGATTGTTATATTCTATTTCCATCTTGCTGTCTTTAAACCTAAAGAAAAATATCCTTCAGTATATGTAACAGATCCATCCTATCTCTCTCACAGCTTTGTATTTCTTGTTGCCTATAATATATAAGGTCACTGTTGGTTTGTATGTAATAGGAAGCTTTTTTATGGTTTTAGTTTGCATTGTGTGTTTTTCAAACCAAAATGAAATTTGCTGTGGAATAATAAGTAAGCTTTTACAGTATACTTACCTTTCAGCAATTTTGATGTTCACAATTTTGTTGGCAGCGGTAAATCCATTATCATTCAGTGTTTCCCACTTCATTATTAAATTATGCCAGTCTGCTGCATTATCTTTAATTTTTCTTGCACTGACTGATAATACTGGTGTCCTGGGCACTGAACTCTTGGCTAGTCAAACACACAAAATGAAGAACTTTTTAATCAGAATAGTTAAAGTTTGGGCTAGACCCCTAATTAAAAAGAAACCAACCACTTCTTATTTATTTTTTTAGCAGCCAATAGGCAAAGCTCTCTGGTTCAGAACAACAGAAATACAAAAAATACAATTAAAATACAGATACAATAAAGGCATAATATAAAATACCAATATACAAATTTAAAACAGTTTAAAACTCCAATATGCAAAAATGTAAAAACAGTTCAAACATCTAAAAGGACTTCAGTGAAACTAGAGTTAACAGCTGACATAACCCAAAATATGCATGGGAAAGGGCAGTTTTAACCTGATGTAAAAGATGACAGTGTTGCTCAGTGCAATTTGTTCCATAACTGGAGGGCTACCATTGAGAAGGCCAACCTTGTTGCCTCCTTCTGGGCCTCCCTTGGAGTTGGCATCAGAGGAAGATCGCAGATGCAGATCACTGGGGTCTGGGTTAGACTGAGGTTAGGAGAGGCCTCAAGTATTGTGCTCCCAAGCCACGTATGGCTAACATCACTTTTGGTTTTTCCCTCACTTGCTGGTCATACTTCCCTGGGCTTTCAGTATAACAGGATTAAAAGCTGCAGTCAAAGTCTAAAATACTGTGACTTGTGTAATGGGATTTTAGTGCTTGTTCACACATGTTTCATGCAGTCAAGTTGTCTCTGATTTATGGGAACCCTATGAATGAATGTCCTCCAAATTGGTCTGTCCTTGACAGGCCACACATATACAAGGTTAAAATGAGCCAACTTAAAGATGGTATGCTGAATTTTACAGGCCCACACATACATAAATTTGCTAATAATCATGTAATAGCACACTGTATTCTTATATTCCATGAGTAAGTATTGGCATTGCTATTTACTAAGCAGAAGGATAGGGGAGAGAAAGATACCACCCTTCATCCCAGAACCTACTGTGGTATTTTGATTAAAAAGAATGCTAATATTTTTCATATCCCAGGTGACAATAATGCTCATACATAAAGTTACTAGTACATTGTGTCTACTGCCACCTCAGTGAATAAACTTCAGTGAATAAGGCCAGGTGATGAATCATAAAACCTTATATGAAAGAACCCTAGAATAAGTACCTTGGGCCAGTTCCTGACTCAATAAAGGCAAATTAGGTTCTTTGCAATAAGCATCATACACTGAAGCCCTAGGAAACCACCTTGAAATTTATGGAACTCATGTCCAGGCAAAAATGTGTAGGATTGCATGTGAATCTAAGGTTATACCATCCTCTTTTATTTGAAATATTGCATAACAAGGAAAAAAAACTAGACTGGACCCAAAATAGATCTGGTTCAGCATTGCCCTTTCCTACAGTGCCCAGACAGGGGGAACAAAGCCAGTAGCTGCCTTACAATTGCTGTTTCATGCTGTATCTTGCCATTGAACATGGAGGCTGCATGTAGCCACCTCAGTGAAAATCTGTTGAGAGCCGCTTCCTCCATAAATTCAAAAGTTTAATCTCCTTTTAAACTCATCCACCATCACCAAAACAGTTTAGAGCAATGGGTTATATGGTTAATTGGATGCTGTGACACGAATGCCTTTCTCTTGCCTGACATAAATCCACCAAGTAATCTGTTTCATTGCTGGAACATCCCAGTTCTAGTATTATGACATTCCTAGGTGAAAAGCAAATTACCTAAGCAAAACACATACATGAAAGAGGAATAGGGGGCACCCTCCATTTCCACTTTCTCTGCATTAGGCATGATTTTATAAAGCTCTATTCTACCTCCTTCTGCTTCCTCAGCTCTAACCCCCTTACCCCAAAACCTGGTAAGAATGAAATCCTATGCATGCTTAGACAGAAAATACTCCTACAGCTCCCAACAAGCTCTAGGTGGCCATATTGGAGTGCACCTCTGTATGTTTAGTTTTGGTTTTCATAATGTACTTGGAAGGTTTTGATCTTTGTAAACCACTCAAGGAGGCTTACCTATTGGGCAATGCAATAAATGAAAATGAAACCAAAGGAAATAAGACTGTGTCACATGAACCACAAATGGTTGAGCATTCATCTGCTGTATCACAAAGATGTATCAATTAGAGCAAGAAAGGCCCAGACCTTTCTTTGACAGGAGTACAAGGATGTGGTGGCTGTATGTACGAGGGGTGTTCAATGTATTCTCGGTATCAGCATGAAGAAAAAGGAATAATAAATTGAAATAATTTTTATTTTTCAATGGGGCATCTTCCAATACAAGTTTCTCAATTTTTTTTCACATTTTCTTTCGTAGTGGCAAAATGGCCAGCCCGAGCAAGGGTCGTCTTCAATGCTTTCTCTGCCCCTTTTAAATTCACTTGACCACTTTTGAACAGTAGATAATGAAGGTGCAGAGTCCTGGTAAATGGCCACCATCTCTTCATGAATAATTTTTTTGCTTTTTCCTTGTTTTGTAAGGAACTTAATCGCAGTGCAGTCCTCGATTTTCTTCAACATTGTCACGTCAGTCATTATGGTCGTCTTTCACTGAGGATTACTAGGGAACTAATGATCACACTGACTTGAAATTTTGCATGTATACCCTCAGATAGTGTCATTAGCTAATGAAATAATTAAATTACCCACATCAATAGCAAATCAACCCGATACCGAGAACGCCCCTCGTATTAACTACGGGTGCCACGCTGTGCATGTCATGTAATGATGATAATAATACTAATGTTTAGGCAGAGAAAATCCTACAACTCCCAGCATGCCCTAGCCAGCTAGGCTATGGAGTACCTAGCGGCCCAATCATATGCAAACTTGTAAGGCTTTTCCCCCTACTATCAAAACATGCATAGGATTGAGCTTTACTCCGCGGAGCTCAATGAAACAGTGGCTGGAGCTCGACTCCTTTCCTTGCCCACCTCTCCTATTTAACAATAATTCACAGCGTTTCTCTCCAGCCCGACAGCCAAGGCTCTCTGGGTAGTTCACAAATAAAAGCGCTAATCCTAGTCATACTCATACTAATATTCAACCCGCCGCAGGCCTGGCGAGGAAACTGCCTCGCCTCCAAGGGCAACGAGGATCAGCCAGGGCTGGGGAAGGACCGCGGCCCCACAAGCGCTTACCTGCCATTCCCGCCGGGTCTCCGCGGCCGAGGGGGCCGCTGCCCAGGCTGCGCCCTCGGAAGTGCGCTCACGTCCGGCCCCGCCCGCCGTCCCGCCGCCGCTGTCGCCGCCGCTGCCGGGAGGCTGCGTAGCGCTGGGCTGCTCTTCGCGAAGCCGCCGGGCCTGGGGCGAGCGGCCAGTCCAGCGAAACATGTGGGGCGTCTCCGCCGGGGCCCTGCCGAGGTGAGTGGAGCTGGCGGCCCGGACGGGCGGCGGGCAGCCTCCGCCTCGCCCTGGGAACGCGTTGCTGCGGATGATGGGTCCCCCGCCCGGGGGAATCGCACCCGCAGCCTCCACTACGCTTTCATCTGGGCAGGAGCAAGAGTGGTCGGGATCCCTTCTCCCGGCCCTCGGTAGTTAACTTCCAAAAAAACGGGGGGTTACCGGATGGGCGGGGTGGTTGTCCAAGACTGTCTGGTGGCTGTTCTAACCTCAGGGCTTCGAGACTTGTTATAGGAGGCGATACACACTCAGCACATACTCAGAAGAAGTCTTGTGTCTCGTGTGTTGTCAGAACCTGCCCTGGAAACACGTGAGTTCAAGCGAGCCATCGTTAAAAGGGAAACTTTACTTTGTTAACGTGCTATATCTGTCCTCATGCTTGCTTGTAATGCCCATCAAATGGCACAGGCAGACAAACCAGTTCTTCAAAAATTCAGGGATCATGGTGTGCCTATTTAGAATTCCAAATATACTGATTTAGTACCTTTTAATGCAGGTGAGTTGCCCCACTGCTTGCTATTTTCCAGCCACCCGTGTGTACTTTCCTCAAGAAAGCTAAAGGAGTGATGATTTTTGCTTACAATGTTTAAAAGCTCCCAAGGGTGTGACTGGTTGAGAATATGGAAATGAAATGGGACAGTTACTTTAGATTAATTTTACTAGAATAAGGTGAGCACTGACTTCTCAAGAATGTTATTGGTTGAGAATATTCAGTGGGATTTTTACTCTGCATTATTCCAGTCTAAAATAAAAAAGTGTGTGAGGAGGAGAAAATAGAATAATACCAGTTTTCTTGTTAGGACCATTACAAAAGGTTTAGCAGACTGTCACTCTACATTAAAAAAAACAAAATAAAAAATCCAGAAATGTCTCTATCCTTTTAATTTTCCTTATTTTTATTTTCTGGTTTTCTTCTCTCTGTAAATTTAATAGAGCCAGGTCCAAACATTATCCATTTTTATGTACGGTATTTGCCAGTACATCACTGTGGCATTATGTGTCCCAATGTTCATCTGATTTAAGTTCTGGTTGAATGCTTTTTGACATTCCTGAGATCTTACACTCTATATCATGTGAACTAACTGTACTCCTGGAGAGCTTCTGTTTGATCTAGAGTAAGAAAGAGAAGTTAAAATACTCAGTCAAAGGTTATGGTATAAACACAGAAGCAATCAAACAAAAAATGTTGAGATGCTCTGTTGGCATACTTTGCTGTTGTTGATCTCAACTTTATAATTATATAATTTAGAATATTCAAAGCATTACAGGTGGTTGTCATGACCACCCAAGAGCCTGACTGGCTGCATGGTATTCACCAGAACTAAGGACAATGAAGCAAGAGGGGAGATGGCTAGAACTTAGGTGGAGGAAAATTCTTGATGAGCCTGACTGAACATGGCTTAGTGCTCATTATTGTGCCTATTTGAGCTGGCAAAAGTGGCAAAGAGATATTTCTTTGCCACCAGCATCGCTTCCTCACAGTGCTGACCAGTGGAGCTTTTCCAAGTGAGTCATGGCCTTTTACATTCTGAGCCAAAAAGAGAGATCATGGAACCCACATTAGCCCACCGTGATAAACTTGCATGACACCTTGAGGATAAAATTGCTTGGATTTGTCATGAGTTGGACACCACAGATAATAACAGTTCCATTGATGGAGGTATCCAGAGCACCATCTGATCCAATTTTGTTGGGTGAGTTTCAGCTTTTGCAGCCTGAGGTGGTACACAGGGTTCTCAGTCATGTCTGTCCTACCACCTGTATGCTCAACCCTTGCCCTTCATGGCTAATTTCGACGATCTAAGGTAGGGGTTTGCACCTGGGTCCAGGAGGCTGGCAACACCACCTTAAGAGAGGAAGTGGTACCAGCTGTGATTGTGTTACTCCTAAAAATTCTATAATGTATCCTAAATAGGAAACTATCCTTAGATAAATTTTAAAAAATCCAATTTAAATAAAAATCCAATTTAAATCAAGAACATCCTTCTAAAAAGAATCATTGATTTTTATCCACCCTTGTTCCTGCCTGGACCTTATGATCTTCAACAGAGGTTCTTCTTAAGGAGCAAGGCAGGTGATGGGTAGGAGAAGGGCCTTCTCTTTGGTTGCACCCCATCTGTGGAACTTGCTCCTCAAGGAGATTTTCCTGGCACCATCCTTGTTCTCAGTTTGGTGCCAGGTTAAAACTTTATTTATAAAACATTTTAATAATTAGCTAAAGATTAGTTTTAATACTGTTTTTATTGATGTTTTCAAGCTGCTACTGCTTTTTAAGTTGTATTACCCCTTGTCATAGCCTGTTGAGTTGCCAGGTTCCATGTATTTTGTTACTATTGTCTTTTAATGTTATTTATTCTGTTTTATGCTGTATACTGCCTAGAGAGCCTAATGGGTCATGGGGCGATAATATAAATGTAATAAATAAATACGTAAATTACATTATCCTCTAACGTTTGCAACAGCCCTTCAAGGTAACTTAATTTATTAATTAAATAGATACTGTACAAGGTGATCTGATTTGTTTGTTTGTGGAAAGTTGTCAATGAGTTTCGAGGTCCTAAAAGTTCTATAATGGAGAACTTGAGTGCTTGAAATCAGCAGTTATACAAGTTGTCTGTCACATGAGAACAGGGTGCTTGCTGTGGCTTTTAATGCTGGCCTAACTCTGATGCCAAACCTTCCATGTCTTCCTGCATTTACATGTGCAGTTAAATGACATCCACTCTGTGTATTGCCCATAGTAAATTCCACATAGGTAGACAATTGCGGAAAGCATGATGAGGACTTCACATGTATATAGAAGTCAAGACTTCCAAGCTGCATCATTAAAATACTTCACTAGTTAGAGTAAATAAGCTGAAGCTCAGTCCAGACAAGACGGAGGTCCTGTTGGTTGGCGGATCGGGCTTCGGAGAGGGTGAATTGAACCTAGTCCTGAATGGGGTTGCACTCCCTCTTAGGGACAAGGTCCGCAGCTTGGGAGTGCTCCTCGACCCAGAGCTTTCATTGGAAGCTCAGGTGACAGCAGTGGCGAGGAGCGCTTTCCTTCAGCTTCGGCTGATCCATCAGCTGCGCCCCTACCTGGAGTATGACTGCCTGGCGACGGTGACACACGCGCTGGTGACTTCCCGCCTTGACTTCTGTAACGTGCTCTACGTGGGGCTACCCTTGAAGACGGTCCGGATACTTCAATTGGTTCAAAATAGAGCTGCCAGGCTGCTGACGGGGACGGGGCGTTATGTTCACATGACTCCAGTCCTCCGTCAGCTTCACTGGCTTCCCATTGAAGTCCGGGCCCAATTCAAGGTGTTGGTGATGACCTATAAAGCCCTAAATGGCTTGGGTCCTGGCTACCTGAAGGAGCGCTTACGTCCATATATGCCCACCCACCCCCTGAGATCTGCGGTAGAGGCCCTTCTCCAGGAACCCTCCGTGAAGGAAATTAGGAGGGTAGGTACTCGGAGGAGGGCTTTCTCTGTGGTGGCGCCCAATCTATGGAATGTGCTCCCCAGAGAGGTCCGCCTGGTGCCGTCGTTATTTGTTTTTCGGTGCCAGGCGAAGACCTTTTTATTCAAATGTCATTTTAATTGTTAATATTATTTCCTTATTTTATTCTTTGGCCAGGGCGACTTATTTTATATTGTTAATTCGTTTTATATTTTTAACGTATTATATTTTAATTGATGTTTTGTGAGCCGCCCCGAGGCTTCGGCGAATGGGGTGGCATAGAAATTTTCTAAATAAAATAAATAAATAAATAAATAAATTGCAAGTGCCAGTACCAGAGGGATGCCAAAATTTACTAGACTCTCCTTTCAGCAAGAAACAGTGTATACTGGAATTTACCTTTCACTTCCATTATAGCTCAACAATGCATTTTGAAAGTCACCTACCTGGCTCAGCTACTTGCAATCCCAGGTGTGGTTTTTCTTTGCTTGATCTCAGCCTTTTGCATAGGCGTTAATTCTGCATAATTTTCTGTGCCAGCTGTGGATCTTTGTATAGGCATTGGCACTGGCTTAAATGGAGCAGGGGGGGTTGGCAGGAGTGGAGACAATTTGTTGTATCTTCAACTTGTGTAGCAATAGGAAGCAGTCTTGCCTGCAGAGGCTCAAAGCTACTATGTGTTTTGTCTAAACTAATAGTGGTACCATGAATCTAAATATTTATGTTCATCTCCAATGTAACTTTTTTTAAACTGCCATTTAGCATTGTGCCCAAACCCTAACCTGTGGTTAGTCTTAGTTTATTGAATCAAGTTAACTTCATAACCCAAGGCTGAAGTTGGTTTGTTTCGGTAAACTATAGTTAAGGCTAACTAGTGTTCATTCCAGAGGCTGTTCCAGAGGAGAAGGGAGTGGGGAGTTGATGAGCCCAGGGTTCCTTTGCATAATGCAAAACTATATCTGTACACAGCCCGTATAAAGAATAATGGAGAAGTGTAGTGAGTTGAAAGATTTGTTTTGTGTCTATCCTAAGTTACCCTACATTTGCACAGTATTTTTCTTTCTTAGGTGATGGGAAGCAAAATGTTGTATAAACATGGTTGGCTAACTAGTTCCAAATATGTGATGCAGTAAGTAACAATTATTTAATGTACATTATCTTCTTTTCCTTCACCTTCATTGAATTTGCTCTCAGTTACATGAATGGTAAATATAACAAAAATTGCTTTTTTATTGCTTTTTTTTTGTGGACTGCAGGAGTATATGAAATGTATCTTTTCCAGCCCATAGGTAACACATATAGCTGTTTACCATGGCATCAGCGACTCCATCATTTACCTTCAAGGAGTTCTGCCCCATGTACTACCTCCTCAATGCTATTCCTACAAAGATTCAAAAGGGATTTCGTTCCATTGTGGTGTACCTCACCGCCCTCGATACCAATGGGGACTACATTGCTGTGGGCAGCAGTATTGGAATGCTATACTTATACTGCAGGCACTTAAACCAGATGAAAAAATACAATTTTGAGGTATAGTCAAACACTTCCTAATAACAGTGTGGCTTTATTTTTAGTCCTTTCCTGGAACTTTGGACCAGGTTTAAAGGGCTGGTTTTAAAGTTTTTAATTGCTTGGTTTAAGGGTATCCAAAAGATTGCCTTTCCACCCATACCCTAAGACCCTCTTTACAGAGCTCCTGCTACAGTGTATCCCTGCAAAAAGGGAGTGAGGCTAGTGATTTTTATGGAGAGGGTTACTTTCTAGTCTGAGGCACCTCCGCAGGTGAAAGGTCTTCTGTGGCTTTCGGAAACCTCCCAAGGAGTTAATCAACTGGGCCTGCTTAGGGCGCAAGAATCACAACAAGGGAGTCACCACATAGAAAGCACTCCTGCATATCCCTGCATATCCAAACTTTAAGTGATGGGGTAACATGGGCCAGGTTCTCTTCCTGAGATTTGCAAGGTTAGGGGATTGTGGAGAGGGTATATGTGGTATGGTGGTCTCCTTCAGGTGCCCCATCTTTGTTGAAGATGCAACAAATACACTTGGTGCCTTGATTTTGGAGTTACCTTTTTTCCCTTTGTTTGTCAGGGGAAAAATGAGTCTATTACTGCTGTGAAGCTCCTGAGCTGCTTTGATGATCTTGTTGCTATTGGAACAGCTTCAGGCAAGATTGCTATTTTTCAGCTTGTCTCTACATTGCCTGGCAGAAACAAGCAAGTAAGAGTCTAAGTTGTTTGTAACCTATGATGATCTTCTCATAGCCTATAGTTTAGTTCCCATTAATTGTGCATTTCCTTAGCTATGACAGCCAAGAAAAATCTGCACCTAATGAACAGTTTTCAGATACATTATTCCATCACATTATGGTTTTGCTTTTGATTTTCCTTGAAAGCCTTAATATCACAGGAGATAATTGTCTGCAAACATGCTTCTGTGAATTTTCTGATCTGTGCTAATATGAAGTTGCTTGGCTAAGATAGAAAAGCACCGATAAATAAGTTGGTTCCAGGAATCAACTCACTGTATGTTCCTGTGATCTCCTTCTTTACAGCTTCGGAGGTTTAATGTGTGTGGTTTCCATAAAAGTAGCATCACAGCCTTGGCATGGAGCCCCAATGGAATGAAATTATTTTCTGGTGATGACAAAGGGAAAATAGTCTATTCTGCTTTGGATTTAGATCAGGTAAGCTGCATACCAAGGGCCCAGATTTTTTCCCCTTGGTTGAAGGAAGAGCATAAGAGCCATCTTGGAACAGAGCAAAAGCCTGTCCAGTCCTGCATCCTGTTTCCCACAGTAGCAAACCGGATGCCTAGGAGAAGTTCACTGGCTGGTCTTGAACACAAAAGCTTGATTGGGTCTCCCAGCACCTGGCATAGAGAGGAATGTTGCCTCTGGTCTCCAGGGAAGTATATTGTTATTACAACTAGTAGTACTTGATTGGCTTTTCCTCCATGTGTTTCTCTGGTTCCCTTAACCACCATCTTAAGTTGCTGGCCATCACCACATACTGAGGAAATAAAATCCACAGTTTAAGTGCTCTGTGAAGAAGCCTTTTCTTGAGTCTGTCCTGAATTTCCCGTCATTCATCTTCATGGGATGACCTTGCTTTCTTCAAAAGAGTGTGATGTCAGCTATGTGAAGTGAATTTTAGAGGGTGCCTGTCAGATGGTAAAATCAACTGTAACCCCAACCAGTAAATGTTGGGGGCCAAGGCATCTCTGAGCATGCACCAAGAAGTTTGTTGAACCCTGTCCAGTACAGGAGGTCCCCTACATATGAACAAGTTCCTCTGAGATAGCATTTGTAAGTACAATTTGTTTGTAAGTTCATGAAGTTGGCCCAGGTTCCCAGCTAACACAATGTGCTATATAATACTGTACTGTAAAAGGTTTATAGCAACATTGGAGGACTTCCAGAAGGTATAATTCTGGGTACGTGGCAGTGCAGAAGTGCACCTGTGTTGTTCGTCTGATGGGTTCTTCCTCATATGGCATTAGCGTTAGGTTGGTGCGACCTGTGTTACACTTTGCTGGACTCACCTCTTTCAATTATTACAGTAAAGTACACAAAAGCATATTTGCATCTTTGAAAGTTCACAACTTGAAGGTTCGTATGTAGCAGACTTCCTGTATTCACCTCCAGGAACATTCCTTATGAGGATGCCTGGCCCCATCCCTTCTGGAGGGACCTCTGAAAATGAGCGTGCCTCCTTGCGGCATAGTGATGCTCTAATTGGGCCACCCTCCTCTGCTGATGATGCCTCATGGGCTCCAAAGCTGGGGCTGCCTTGTCTGTGACTGAGAAACTCGCTTGTCCCAAGCCCCCTCCCACTAACTGTACATCTTGGTTTTCCCCAGGGACTGTCTTCTCACCTGGGAAGTCTGGCCTTGAGATAAGCGTCCCTGCTTCTCTCAGCTCAGTGTTTTGGGATGGCCCAAAACATTTCCAGCCCCCCTCCTGCTCCTTCCCCCCCTTCTTTTTCTGATTCTTCTGCGGACCAGCCAGCAGCCCTTATGAATGTGTGCCCAGAGCAGCCAGCTTTCTCACTCCCAAGAGTATACATCTCTTAAAGTGCTGTCCTAGAGTTCTGTCTGAACTTGAACAGGATTGGATTTGTAAGGTTAAATGCAGACAAGTTCTTAACTTCAGAAATTATGTTCAGTATTCATGTCATGTCTTTTGCAGGGTCTTTGCAACTCCAACTTGATACTAGAAGAGCCATCTTCAATTGTGCAGCTAGATTATAGCCAGAAGGTTTTGCTTGTCTCCACTTCACAGCGAAGTCTTCTTTTTTATACTGAACAAAAATCTGTCAAGCAAGTTGGAACCCAACCCAGAAAAAAGTAACTCCACTAAATTTTGGTCTAAGCAAATATCTTAGTTTCAAATTCATAGAGAGATGGTGGTTGGACAACTGTTATAACGCAATATAGTTTTCCTAAAACATTTTATGTACATTATTTTCCTCTGAAACTGCTAATGATTCAAAATATTTAAAAGACTTTTAGGTCAAGTATGATTTATGTTTTTAGTCCTTAACTATTGTAAAGTTAACCTTTATAATCAAATGAAAATATAAAGAAACTTCCAGCAGTCAAAGGGTAAGAGGTTAGCATCCTGAATTGCACCCTAACCTGTTCCTCTGTTATTATCCCATGCTTTCTAAGCTTATGAGTCACCTTGGATTCATGTATCTCCCTCTGTATATCTTTTGCCCCCAGCTGCTCCAGTAGTTAGCACACTCAATTTTTTATACAGACAATTCTACAAAATAAGCAAAAGTATGCATGCTAGATCTGCAAATGATTCTTCATATTCTTTTCTGCCTTCATGATGGGAAAATTTGCTCTTTATTTTATTTTTCTTACGGTTTGAAATATTTGGCTAGGATGTAAATTAACTGCAAGGAGATAGCTTCCATTCACAGAAAGTGTGGTAGCCCCACTGTTGTTTCACATGCTACTCTAAAGAATCTTGTGGACTTTGGGTGCAGCTTGGTGGTGGTGGTGGTGGTGGGAAAACAGGTTGCGAGGGGGAGAAAGGGCTAGGAAACCTCTGGTGCAAGCGTGGATGAGCAGGCACAGCCCTGTAGATCCCAGCCTGGCCTGTGTTCATATATATTCACATGAATTGCAGCTCATTTGCTACAGGAGTTGAGCAGGACAGGAGAGTTTGTAGGGCATTCATTCATAGGATCATCATTGCATGGAGATGACTTGACAATATGTAAAAACGATGACAGGCACAACAGCTGTCTTTTTACTTGTTTCCAAAGCTTTATCCACTTGTACTTAAAATTAATAGTTTTAAAATGTCTTTTCTCACCTAAATAGAATTGTGTGCTTTGATAATCCTTTTGTTTTAAATTTTAGTGCTGGAAAACTTGGAGCATGTTTTATACCTGGGTTGTGTAAGCAAAGTGATTTAACACTGTTTGCTGCAAGGCCTAGTATCCGTCTTTGGAAATCAGATGTCCATGGAACTGTTCAGGCCACGTTTATTTTGAAAGATGTGCTCACTGCTGGAATGAAGCCTTTTGAATTATATCCCCGAGTGGAACCCTTAAGCAAAAGCAACTCTAATTTCCCAGAGAGGCAGCTTGGACTCATTTCTTGCTTTTTCCAGGAAGGTTGGGTGCTCAGCTGGAATGAATATAGCATTTATTTATTAGACACAAAAAACCAGGTAAGGGAAAGCAGTGCAGCTGTATTTGATCTGTAGCGTTTCAAGCCCAGTTCAAAGGTATGTTTTTATGGAATAGTTACATGATTAGTGATGTAAAGGAATATTTTTAGATTCATCAATGCTTTGCTAATGTTTTGGCTTTGTAACCTGTTATAGGTTGGACTCAGATACACTGTGAATCAACTGTGCTGATGGAAATGAACATTGCAAGCCTGTAGCAGCTTCTTCAGTCCCCTGAAAATACTACACAGAGCAACAGGACACCCTGTTAAATGCAGGGGGCAGCATTCCAAAAAAATGGGGCAGAGGGACTTTCCAAAAGTAGATTTCTTCTTTGGGAAGGTGGATCCTCCATACAAATTTGTGGCTTGGTTTTAAGATAAACTGTGTATAGGCACATCATCAATAAAGCAGGGAAACACTTTTCTCTATTTACTGTGGAATCCCTGCATGGTGGAGAGGGCTTCTGGGTACAGTTTGAAGTCTGCTCCATTCAAGCAGGGCTGGTTTGTTGGTTTCCTGAGGTGGTGCCTTAAAGCATTCCATTTTTTCTGGATCATTTCCAGACCTTTATGCCTCTTTAGCCAGGGAAGGATTTCAGATTCTGTTTCAAATATTCAAATTTCTGAGCTGAAACTAAAAGCTAAAAGTTGAAAAACATACACTGTATTTACCAATTTACATTTTGAACAATATATGGTAACAATCGAATGAAGGAGAATATGTAAAGATATGGGGCTGACTATTAAATTAAAACAAGTGGGATCTGCAAGCAAGTGTTGCGGGTTTCCTCACTTGCTAAACTGAGTGCAACTGTTTGAGGCTTCAGACAGGCTGGAACAGGCAGTTTGTACTGCCTCTTGGGGAGAGAAGGGGAGTTATGGGGGGGAACACCCCTTTTTGCTCTGCCCTGCCCTTGATCTATATAGCATTTGAGGGCTCAGATACAGAGCTGGTTTTCAACCCTGAGCATTTTATAATGGATAGTCAGCTTGACAAGGTTGCTGAGGAAAGAAAACTGGTGTCCTTTAGCATTTTTGTCTTTCTTGAAACACCCCTGTAAAAACTAGGGAGGAGAGTTTTTAATCTAACAGAAGTCAACCTCTCCTCTCAGTTGCTTCCAGGATACTTCACTATAAGAGACCTGAGCAGGTCGATTCTCTCCTTCCTGTGTCCCCCTGCCCACTTTCCATCTCTTCTTTCTCTTTCAATTACTAACGCAAGTTTCTATATGCCCTGGATGTTTACAGATCTTTGTGGGGCCGTTCCGGTATATTGAAAACTATATTTTAATTTACAAACTTGCTATATGTTCCAAACAGGGTTCAGGTTCATTTGAGTAATCCCCTGAATCTGCTGTACCCAGGTGCCTGATGGACTCAATTCCCCAGGCAATAGACCCATACATTATTTTTCCCTGAGTGCCCATGTTTGCTTCTCGAGGGCATTACAATGAATTCCAGGCAGGTCATGCAAATGTGCATATTTCATATATGCACTGTACTTTGTAATTCTCTATTTGTCCCTTAAGGAAGAATCCTTTTGCCCCTGAACAGTGACTTGGGGGTGGGGGGATGTAGGATATTTCAGATTCCCTTGGAAGGGGGAACTGAAGCTGTGTCCCCACTCCTCCTTGCAGTCTATATGGAAAGAACCATACTGGCTGCCCTCCAATGTCAGGAACTCAACCTTGGAGGATGGGGGAAGGGCAGGGAGGGCAAGAGACTGGACAGTCCAGGATATGAGTTATCCTGAGTCCTCTCCAGCATTCTTCCCTCTCTCTTCAATGCTCTCCTGCTAGATGACAGGCACGAAAAGCCCACCCAGGGAAAACTGCAGGGTGGGAGTGCTGAGAGGTGAAGGTTGCCTGCTCAACTCGTCTTGCCTTGCACAGAATGCTTGTAGGTCTTGGAGTTCAGGAGTTATGATCTTCAAGGGTGCAACCCATAAAGTTGCACCCTTGGAGGAGCATGATACTGGTCTGAAGAGTGCTCTGCAATCCTCATTCTTTAGTCTAAGTCTGTTAAGTAATTTGTTATTCCTGAACCTAGAAGTAGAAACTGAACCAGAGAGTTTTTGCTCATGGCCATCTGCTCAGTGGCTAGAATGACTTGCTCCATTTCTCCAATTATGTTGATACATGTCTTAAATTTAAGATGTGTGATGGCCACTGTTGTTCCAGCCACAGTATAACTGTGGATACAGTTCTGGATACATAAAAGTATGTGTATTTTACTTGGATTCTTCACTGAACTGCAAAGTCTTTAATAGCAGCTTCTAATCAGTTCTGCTGTGACTTGTTTACTGTGTGATTTAATCTTGAAATGAAGAACACCGCCTCTGAGACAGTTTTAGTGGGCTGTGGAGAAGGTACCATGGTAACACTTGTAGCTTGTTAGAGACAGTGGAGGAGGCTGGGGAGAAAACCAAATAAAAGTTTTGTTCTTTGCGCCAGTAAAAGGAAATTAATGGGGCCACTACTTTTACTCCATGCAGGTTTATAAATTGGCATTAATGAATAATGACTTGCAGAATTTGGACATTAAGAAAAACTTTGTGGTTTGTAGGCTACTGGGTATTATTTGCATTTCTAAGCTGCTACTATAGAGCTGTATTCCTTTGCTTTATTTTCATTTTAATAGACTTTTTGTGGGTTCCTGCCAACTTTTATGCTACCTTGGTATTTGAAAGTACCTAGTCTGAATTTACACTTCTCATGCCAACAAGAGTTGAATCATCATCACAACTGAACTAAATTATAAAGCACTTTATAACCCATTTCTGTAAGCATTGCATACATCAGGCCTGTATTAGTTCTTCTTCTGGTAGTGTCATTTGGCTTCTTGTTTTCATTATATAATGTCACTGGCCAAAAATACAAAAACAACTCTGAAGTGCTATTTGCATCCTAAAGAGCTTTTCTTGGCACATTTGAAGCCTATCTTTAACTTTTCCTTGTTTTTGCAGACTATGATTGGCAGCTTGGAAGGATCTGGCGATATTGTGTCTGTATCCTGTACAGAAAATGAAATTTTCCTCTTAAAGGGAGACAGGGATATCATCAGAATCTCAAGCAAGCCTGAGGGATTGGGGTCAATAGGTTGGCACATATTAGCATACTAAGTTGTATAGCACATGTAAAGTGATTGATGTGTGTGGTGAGTGTTCTCGTGTTCTTTGAGTGGATGCAGTTGACTGATTGACTCCTCAGCCCTGTGTAGGGAAAATTCCACCATGGTCAAGCAGATTGCTGCTACTGCTGCCTTCTGCTTGTGGTGCATTAGATCAGATTGACATGGGCATACAGGCCTCCAGCCTGGCATCATAAGCACGAGCGTGCCTGTAGGCACTGCTGTTGTGGCTTGCAAGTCTTCTTGCCCCATCTTGATTTCTATTTTATTTTAATTTAATTTTGAACTTTTAAAAAATGGAACACTGGTTTACAGGAAAGCCAAGTGCTGCAGTTACCACCCAAGCCATCACTGGGTTCAGAAGAGTGATTTTGTGTTTTAGAGCTTTGAACCCACCTCTCCTTGTAATTATCTCTTTGGGCAGGTTACTTGTCTTTCAATCTCACTAGTTTGCCTTCTGGAAAATGAGTTTCTTGTGAATTGCTGTGTCCACCATGCAATCATTTTATGAATGGACAAGCTGCCCTATGGGAACCATTTTGTTAGAGTGTCCATGACACTCTGAAAATTGCAGATGTGTCCACCAATGCCCCCCATTGGACCTCATGGATGTATGTTTTCCATTCATTTTACATAGATACATTATTATTCTCAGAAATTTTTAAGGATATGGGATGGTAGCTTGTCTCCAAAGAAATGTAGGTTAAGGTGGGATGTGTGTTTGCACCAATTTGCCCTGCTGCAGCCCTTTGCATCTCCCAAGTGTCCCCCCCTCAGACTTGCCGAGAACCTGACATGAAGTGGGAGGAACTGCAGCTGTGGGTGAGGACTGCAGCATGACTGAGACTTCCTCTTGTATGAGTGGGGCTGGGTTCTGATGGTGAATTCTCCTGGGCTCCTCAGTGAAGCAAGCAGGAGTCAGATTTAAGGCTATTAAGATAGCGTCTATCAGCAGAGGGGAGCAGGTGGTTCTCCATATGTCACTGGATAGCATTTCCCATCAGCCCTAGCTGGCAGAGCCAGTGGTGAGGGATGATGAGCACTGTGGTCCAACAACATCTGGAGGGCACAAGTTTGGGCTAGGTAAGTTGGACTAGATAAATTCTTAGAGAATAGGCCTGTTGATTGTATCTTGGGCTGCCCTGCCTGGTAGCAGATCCTGTTAGGTCATTGCCAGATGCTTGGGGACAAATATTACAACAACCTTATCACTATCAGCCGGGATGCTGATCCTAATCATCTGACAGAGCATGTCAGGATCAGTTTGCAAATGAAAAATACAGGGTTTGTGTTTCATTCTATAGCCAGATGTTTCTTGACAAATAGACACAGCTGCCATTGAGACAAAGTAGTCAAGCCAGGCTTCCCCCTCATGACAAAGAGGCTTTGTTCACTGCTTGGCAGTCGTGTGAGAGCTCTCCCACGTGTTGTCACTATGAATTAATTCTGGCTTAGGCAGAGCAGTTTTTTGAAGCACAGCTTTTAAAAGAAATTTCAAGCTGTGCAACATGATTCACCCTAACTTGCCCTTTTAGCCAGATTGTATAACACTTGAGAGTGTGTGCTAACTTTAATGAGAAATTGGCCTTTCAGTGTTCTTCAGTCACCTAGTTTGTTTCTTGTTCTATTGCTCTCAGGAAAATGTGCACATGAACATATCCTTTTCTTTGAAGGTCATGTGAACACTAAGAGCCACATAGGAATGGACCAAAGGTCCAGCATCTTGTTTCCCGTGGTGGCTCACTAGAGGCTTCTGGGAACCTACAAAGTAATACAAAATGGGCAATTGCCTTCCTTTATTCCCCAGTATCTGCTGTGCAGAAGAATGCTGTTTCCAAATGCAGAGCTTTTTCCTATTATGGTTAATAGCTCATGATAACTTAGTCTCTCAAGAACTTCTGTATTTTTTAATTTGTCTGAGCTTGCACCCATCACTGCATATTGCCACAGCAAATTGTGTGAATTAATCCTGTGTCAGCTGAAGGATATACTTTCCTGCGTCTGCTGTCCATCATAGTTACCCCACATTCTTGTGAAAGAGGGAGAAAAAGTATCATTTACTCCACCCCATTCATAATTTTATAGAACATTCTCATCTTCCCCCATAGTCATTATTTCCTAAATTAACAGAATGTAATTGTTATCTAATGTTTGCCATTTCAATTTCAGATATGGATTCAAAAATGATGAGCCCATTAACTGATTTGAGTCCAAAATTACAAAGTCCACACTCAGTTATTGCATCCATGCCATCTAATCCGTCTCCAGAAGTAAACCAAAAATTAATTAGCTTCCCCTCACCTCAAACACCTGGTGACAAAAATGGCTCTGTAGATACAGCTTCCTTGGACACAGCACTACTAACAGAGAAAATTCGCTCACAGAGCTTTGATGAGCTAGGGGACCTGAGCACTGACCCCAGAAGAAGGGGCTACTCAGTAGCTAGTGAACCAAGAAGTAGAAGCAGGAGCAGCTCCATGAATTCTGTGGACAGTGGCTCCAGTTTCTTGACCAGTGGAGATCTAACCTCATCAGAAGTTCAGAGAGAAGGGCAACGGTTCAGCACGATCAGCTCTGAAGACTTCAATCAGGCATTCACTGTCAAACAGATCAAAGTGAAAAAGAAAAAAAAGAAAAGACAAGGTAAATACAAAAGTCTGTTCTGACGCTTTCTTCTCTAATGGCGTCTTCTTGGCATCTAACTTGTAAAATTGCTCTTGGATCCAGTAAGGTAAAATATAAACAATAGGATATTGAATGAAAGCAAGTGCTATCTCTTTTGATCAAATGGATTCATGTATACCTTTGTAATGAAAAGGGGGAGGGGGCATTTTCATTTTGCTTTTTAACCTGAATACACTACAGAATCTTGACTTATGTTCCTGAGCCTACTTTCCCCCCACAAACTTTCCTAATCATTCCTGCACAGGTAAAAGTACATGGCTTTTTAGAATCTCCTAAATCTAGCTCAATGGGTTAACTTTAATCTATTGGCCCTTTCTAGTTGGCATATTTAACCAGCTTTCTTTTCCTTTCATGTGTGGTGGACCCTTATGGATAGCTATAGCTGGTGCAGAGATTTTGGTACCTGGCCATATGAAATAGCTGTTTTGAGACCAAAAACGCATAAGTTTTAAGGCTTCAGGCATGAAGTTCAGTACCTTGAGTGGGTAGACACCAAGTCTCACTGTTGAAAATAACTGTAATCATAATGTTAACAAGTATAGAGCACTTTATAGGATTCAGGGCACTTTACATACGTTATTTTCTTATAATTTGTGCACCAGCCCTGCCTTTTCCATATTGTAGATGGAGGGCAGATGTGCCTTTCCTAAGGCATAGCTCAGCCAGTTAGCCACTATGATGCACCTTCTTTATTATTGCACATCAATTAAGCTTGCACTGACTTGGTTGAGAGCATCTTTGCTCACTGGTGGAGAGCGTGCTTGCCATGCCAAAGGTCCTAGGTTCATCTCCAGTTTAAAAATGTGCCATGGTAACTGATTGGGGAAAAACTCTGCCTAGAAGTCTGGAGAAAATCTCCTATTAGAAAAGATGGTAATAGAGTGCTGTATATTGGCCATCTCCAGGCTGATGCCTCCCAAATCCTTTGTTCTACAACTCCTAACATTCCTGACCACTGGCCATGCTGCTGGCTGCAGTCGATGGAAACTGAACTCTGAAACAACTGACATGTACCTGGTTGGGGAAGGCTGCTTTATATCATAGCTAGGATTTATAGTTCAGATTGAAAATACACACACACGTACACGTGAAGTCAAATAGTGAGCTTCAAATATAGAGTTGTTCCTTGCATTCAAAATGCTGTTCCCTCAGTTAATGCATGTTTCTCTTTTTTCTTCCCAACCTCTTCCCCATCCTACCATGTATTCCAATTATGTGTGGACTTAGAAAATGGGATCAGGAGGAAACCCAGCTCTCTGGAAAGCTCACCCTGCTCTGAGCATCAGGACTTTGCTGAGAGCCCTCGGTCTGTAAATACTGATTCACCCTCCCTTAATTCTGACTTGGTGAGCAGCATGGTGGACCACTTAAGCATGAGTTCTGCAGACCAAGAATCCTTGTGTGTGTGGCAGGAAGAAAATGGCTCTGAAACATTCAGCGTACTTCAGTCTCCAGAATCGGTAGTGACTGTAACACCGGAGGACAATGACAGTGTGCCTGAGCTGCTGAAATTTTCTAATGGGGAGAATGAGATGGGGACATCCTCTGCCATAAACACCTTACCATCCTTGCCCCCGCTGCTTCTCACAGATGACAAAGTGCGGAGTGCTGATGCTGAGCGGAACTGGAATCTTCCGAGTGAACAAACTGAAACCAGCTCAAAGCAACTGTCCCAAAGCAGCGAACAGTTTCCTCTCCCCAGTAAAACAGAGGGCGCTTTAGATGATTTAGGTCTACTGGATACTTCAGATCTTCTGCAAGAACCAAGCCTCGAGAAAGGGATGCCTGTAGCTGTGAGCACAGCCAGTTGTACTGAGGAGCCATTTGGTCAGGGTGTGGGTGTTGAGCCCCACGTAGGCCAGACACTGCAGGATCCTCTAGAGGAGCTGGCCCCACTAATTCCCACTGTTCCTCCTGCTGCCCTTTCCAGAGAAGAGGTAAGTCCTCAAGAAAGTGCATTACATGGGCAGGATGTTCAGGAGACGTTTGAAACTGAAACCAGCCCTAACACTGCCAGTGAATGGATAAGCAACACCCACGACGTAAGAGCAGAACGATCTGCATCCAGTGATGAGGAAGATATCTATGGACATGGCTTGCCTTACTCCTCTTCAGAGACTAGCATGGCAGAAATGGGAGTCTGCCTGCCTTCCCAGGATAAAGTCAGAACAAACATAGAGGAAGGTGTGCTTTTAAAGTCTGATCAGGTACGATCTTGTACACAAGAATTGTAACAGTGCCTAGAATAATTGGGAGTCTCTTGCACTCATATTAATGCCGTCCTTCTCCACCAGTTCCTACAGTGCTGCACAGACACACACATAATACACACATGCATCCTCCATCACCACGTCCGCATTGTTCACAGGGGGTCCTCTGCAGCCTTCCTCTGGAGAATGCTATAAGGGCTGTGGGAGGAGGAAAGTCCCTGCAGGAACAGAATTTCACTTGCACTTCTCCAGGCGAACCATGTGTTTTAGTACAACTGTTAAGGGAAGCACATTGTTTAGGATGTTGGAGCCAGTCTCCCATGAGCTGTTGAGTGGTCTGCTTGCATTCCAGATGAGTGATGGCTCACCAAAAGCTGCATCTAAAAAAATTACAACCAGAAACGCCAACTCTAGCTGGCTTATGGTTGTTGTTGTTAAGGGGTGGCGTAGTGAATTAGGAACAATGTCCTGGGACATTTGGAAGTCATTAATATGAAGAAGAAAGTTAATTTTTTAAAGATAGGGTTGATGGAAAGGGAATAATTGGCACTTTCTCCTTTTCTTGGCTAGTTACGTTTGTTATACCAATCCATTTCTGTGTTTGACACTTGCACAGGAAAGGATCTGTTTCTTTATCTGGCATTCATCAGTGTAAGAAACTTACCCTTTAACTAGGGTTTTCAGAGTTCTAATAGAGTCAAAGAACTCTTTACTAGAATGTGTGGAGGACAGTAAGGCCTGGAGGAATGTTGTCCATGGGGTCACAATGGGTCAGACACGACTTTGCGACTAACAACAACAACAAATGGTGTTTCCTAGCCATGAGTCTCTCCAGAAATCCTTCAGCTTGTATACTGTTATTGAAACAAGGTTGGTGATAAAGTGAAGAAAGTCCCATGAGACAAAAATGTGGAAACTCATTGCTAGAGACCAGTAGGCGTTGAAGTTGTCCATAGTCGATGAAGCAGGCATGCTTTGTTCAACAAACCATGAAAGATGCTATTAGAGAAATGTAGTAAAAATATCTCACAAATTTGGCAGCTTTCCTATACCAATAAAAATACTGCGCCCTATTCTAACTCTCCAGTCTTTAGTTTGCAGAAAGCTGGATGGGCTATGCAGGTCCTGGCTATGGAATACTGAGCCTGGTTGTCTCCGAGAAATACGTTTGGTGCCTGGATTACAAAGGCAGCCTGCACTGCAGTGCTTTACCTAGTGCTGGTCTGCGCTGGCAGAAGTTTGAAGAGAATGTCCAGCAGGTGGCAGCCTCTCCTTCAGGTAGGTAAACTTGTTATGCTTTTTGCCTTTTGTACCTGGTTTGGCAGGTTTGTATGAGCTCCCGAAAGCCTTCGTGCTCTTCTTTGTTTGATTAAAACATATAGTTATGCCTCTTACATACAGAGGTAATTTTTATTAGACAATGTCAGTGTCGGATCCTTTCTTACAAGTCGTTTACAAAACTTGAGGGCCCACTGTACACACACCACATTGAACCAATTGCCTGGTAGAGACTTCTAGGCCTCAGCATTTTCTTTGGTTTGGGCATAGTCTGTTGCATTAGTACCATTTTTAATACAGTAGGCTGAAGATGGAGGATTGGAGTGTTGAATCTCTTTCATCCTGAAAGCTCAGTTCCATTTTGGATAAGCTCCTGGGGCTGCATTCTAGTGCAGAATGGAGGATAAATGCAAAATGGGCAGTTGCCAATGTACAAGAAATAGGAGCATATTTAGGGAAAAGGCCCTACTGCCAATAACAAAGACTTTTTGAATGGGGGGAACCTGTATAACAGCCAGTAAACTATCCCATATTTACTGAAAAGGGTAGGACCATCTGCAGAACCTTGGATGGTTGGATTGTCTTGTGTGCCTGAGGTTCTGCAGTCCTGATGGAAGGGATTTGGGCTGTCCTTTGTAGAGAGGTTTTCCTGAGCTTCATCAACTCAGGTTGCCAATGGACTGGTTAGGCTACATGCTTGAAAGTTTCTCAAGGATTGTCCCCGCCTTCACCTTCCTGTCCATAGAGAAAATGCATGCTGGAGGAAAGGTGACCTTCGTTGGACATGCTGCTGTTCTGCATAGTGGGAGGCTTTGGGAGTGGAGAAGACATTTGAATAGGTGGGCATCCAAACATAGACATGGACACTCACACCTGCAGCCTGATGTATACCAAGGCTTATCACTCCATTCTGTTGGTTGTACAAAAGAGGTTTTCACCGTTGCGTAATTTCTGTGAATATTGTGTTATACAAGCAGTGATTGGTTTAATTTCTTGGCATTTTAGCCATATATGGGAGGGGCATTTAACAGGAGGACAGTCTTTTTCTCTCGCTTTGAATTGGTTCCTCCATCTGTTCTGTGATTTTTCTTTTGTACAGTGCACCTTCCTATATCTCCTTTTCTCCCTACAAGCAGATCTTTCAGCAGTATTCCAAACACTAAAATAGCTAGTGGTTAAGCAAAAATGGATTGTGTAAAAAAAATCAGTGCTAGATAACACCTCTCTAATTGTGCTTGTTCTGATTAATGTGAGGCTCCTTCTGCAGGGACTCTACTCTGGAAGGTTGAACAAAAAACAAATAAAGCTTTTGCCTGTGGAAAAGTAACTATAAAAGGGAAACGTCACTGGTATGAAGCTTTACCTGAATCAGCCTTTGTATCTTTGAGTGATGACACTGCCTGGATTATTCGAACAAATGGAGATCTGTATCTGCAGACAGGTAACCTCTGCTTGGAACATTGGAAGACTCCCTTACATTGAGCCAGAGCACTGGTCCAGCTTGCCCACTCTTAGGGATTGGACAGCTGATCTATTCCCAGTGGGCTCTTATACCTTTGGCTCATGCAAGAGCCTAGAACTTGTTTCGGGTGTCAAGAAACTCAAGTTTAACAGGTATTTGTCATTTCTGTTATTGACAGGAATCCCTAAAGACTAAGCTGGCCACAGGCCCCTTGAGAAATATTTTTCTGTCTCCCGAGAGGCTCTGGGGAAGTGGTAGCCCACAATTTCACTTTTTGTCAGTGTTTGAGTATCATGCCTGTGCTGTGCCAACGTGTGCCTTCTCCATTAATGCTGTAGAGTTTTCTGCTTGTTGCCTTCATGGGTTTGTGCGGCAAAACACTTCCAGCCCACAGACCACTTCCAGCCTAAAGCAGCCCTCTGCAACCTGGAGTTCCCCATATGTGCTACATGACAGTTCCCTCACTCAGCTTGCAGCTCCCCTGGAATCCACAGCCTAGATGAGCCCTTGTTTTTCTGCCACTTCCAAAATTTGGTTCTATCATTTTTAAACCATCCAGACTTACTTATTTTATTTATTTAAGCCTCGGGGCAGCTTACAACATATTTATTTATTAAAACATTTTATCCTGAGGCTGCCTTTCCCAACCTGATGCCTTTTGGATATATTGGATTATACACATGAAATATTTTAGGCCCAGCTGGCTGGGGGATGCTGGAAGTTATACTTCAGCACATCTGGAGAGGACTAGGTTGAGGACTAGCTGGCTGAACAGAGCAGGCACAAAGATCCAGAAGAAATACAGACATTCTCCATCCTCACTGAGCCAGCTCTGCTTGTGTGAGCCATAGCTGCCACTGTGTTGATTTCTGTTTATGCAGAGGAATGCATAACGCTTCCAAATATCTTTATATCTCCACATTTGCTTACATCCAGTGAACTCGTAAAGTCCTGATATCCCTGCCCAGACGAACTCTCAAGAGGCAACTCTAGGATTCTTCATTCAGGATTAAGGAAATAAGAATGATGTGCTTGTTTGGGGCAGCACATTTTAAATTCTGAATAAAGCAGTAATAAATGGACCCACGACACTTTATTTATCAATGGTGACTCTGAGGGCATCATGTTTATCTGGTGTTTCTTTGTTATTAGATTAGTCTTCAAAGAGTTTTGTGAATATATAACCATAAATGGAAGTAGCTTAAATAAAAACTGGTTTGAGATGAACATAGTACTAAGGGAACATACTGAAAGCCAAAAGCATGTCTAGAGCTAGAGAGGCAGCACCTTTGCCCAAATTAAGTCCCAAACTCTACAGAAAGCAGATAAAAACCCATGCTGCCCCCTCAAATGTATTCTTGGAGCAAAAACAGAGGTGGTATGCTTAATTAGTGCTCTGTATTTCACTTGAAGGCCTGAGTGTGGATCGTCCCTGTGCCAGAGCAGTAAAGGTGGAGTGTCCATATCCTCTGTCGCAGGTTACAGCCAGAAATAATGTTGTCTGGGCATTGACTGAACAACGGGCACTTCTCTTCCGTGAAGGTGTGAGTAGCTTCTGCCCTGAAGGGGAGCAGTGGAAATGTGACATCATCAGGTAAACAATTAATTAAGTCAGTATGTTCTGTAATAGTTCTTCTTGGGCAATGGTTGGATTTTTCATCATCTTAGTTTAGACTTGCACATGCCTGCAGAATATATTTCATCACGTGAGATGGCCCATTTCTTCATCAGGGTAGTAGGTTTCATTGACCTGTGGGATGGCAGGAAAAATACTCTGTTACGAAACTGTGCAGAGGAGGAAAAGTATTCATGCACTCATGGCATAGCGCAGGATGTTGTGCCAGTTGCCATTTCATATTGCACAGATGTGGGATAGGCCTGTGTGGCCACATTACCATGGATAATCACTAAATACTGTTTTAACTTAAAGTTCAAAAATTTGAGCTCTGTGTGTACTCTCTGGTTCATAGTGAGATTCATCTCTTGTGGCCAGACAAGTACAAATTTAGTCTCAAGAAGAGTGAAATTCTCCTGCCTGTATAAATTATACTAATTAGCCAAATTTATGTGCATCCACTTTACCAAGATAATTATTTAAGATTTGTACAACCAATTGTACCAGTGGCTCTTCAGTTGCCAGTTCTTCATATGTGGTTTATGCTAAGCCGTGGGTGGCTGCACAGATTATACCAGCCTGTCCTGGCAGTGGGTGGGTTGGTTGTTTTGCAAAGGACCCATGGCGTGGCTGACAGGCTCACTGTGGGTTGCTTATCGCCGCCTCCTCTGTTGGTCCTCCTGCAGGAATCTCAGTAGATCCTGGGACAGGACCTGTGCAATTTGGCTTGCTGGAGCTTTTTGTCCTCCCCCCTGCCCCGCCCCCAGGGATCACAAAGATTGGCCTGGCAGCTGGATTTCATCATCCCCATTTTGGCAGTCATTGACAGCCCTCTTAAAATGCTGAAACAGCACATTGAAGAGGCTGATAGTGGTTGGGAAGCTATTTTTAAATAAAATTTATGCCCATGATGTGCACAATTTTTATTTTAGGGTTTTAAATAGCCATACTTATGCAACTGCAGCAGTAGGACACCTTGCCTGGGTCAGTGTTCTGGGGGATACCTGCTGTCATACTAAAGCAAATACCAGACCTGGATATTAAGCCAGGGAGGCTCCAAATAGGCTTTTTCTTCCCTTTGGTTTCTCTTGACAGCTGTTAAAAGACAAGACTGTCACTGGGAAATGAAGGAAACAGGTGACTCTTGCTTACCAAAAGGGGGTGGTGGGTGTTATCCCCTCTTTACATAAAGATACTTTTTTCCTTGAACTATAATGTCATAAGGACAAACTCTCTTTTCTAATTGTTTCAGTTGTTGAATATATTGCTTCGGATCATGGAAAAGTGTCATTCACTTAAAAACAAGAAAAATCTAGCTGCCAAACTCCAATTCCTTTTAAAAAGGGCTTCATGCCTTCATATGTCTCTGACAGGAAGCCTTGGGGAACCATGTCCTGTTCTTCCCCACCTCAAATGATGATGATGATGATGCATTTTATAAAGGAACTAGAGCTTTGACAAATAGCTTTCAAAATTGACCACTCCTTTTGAAATGAGGTGGCTTGCACTTTTCTGGGTTTTGAGTGACCTGTGTTAATGTCATGCAAACCCACTCAAAACCTGCTTGCAAAACTATGGGGCAGCTAGTGGCATGCATAATGGAACAGCAGTTCCTTATACCTACCGTATTTTTCGCTCTATAAGACGCACATGACCATAAGACGCACCTAGTTTTTAGAGGAGGGATCCATGGAAAGCTTCCTGATAATCACAGGTACATTCCCCATCACTTCCCCATGGGCTTCATTAAAAGACGGGTTGCCATTTGAAAACACACACTGACCTGTGATTAACAGCTCTCACCTGCGCCAGAGGAGGGGGGCAGAGCAGGGCGCGCCGAGCGGGTGCCGGCCAGGTGTGGTGTAGCTGGGCCAGCAGCGTGCCGGCGGTGGTCTTCCGGGCGGTGCGGTGGCGGCGGCGGCAGGTCTTCCCGGGCGGTGGGGGTGAGCAGTCTGTCTCTCGTGCGGCCGGTGGGTTAAAACCCACAGCTGCTCCTCCTCCGCACCGCTCCCCCTGAGCGGCACAGCTCTCACCCGCGCCAGAGGGGGAGGGTGGAGCAGGGCGTGCTGAGCGCGTGCCGGCCAGGTGGTGCCACATGGTGCAGCCAGGCCGGCGGTGGTCTTCCGGGCGGCGCGGCGGCAGTGGCAGCAGGTCTTCCCGGGCGGTGGATGTGAGCAGTCCGTCTCTCCGTGCGGCCGGTGGGTTAAAACCCGCGGCTTCTCCTCCTCCGCACCGCTCCCCCTGAGCAGCACAGCTCTCACCTGTGCCGGGGGGGGTGGGGGCGGAGCAGCACGTGCCAAGCATGTGCCGGCCAGGTGGTGCCACATGGTGCAGGCGGGCCAGCAGTGTCCTGGGCGTCAGGCACACACACATTCACTCTATAAGACGCACAGACATTTCCCCTTACTTTTGAGGGGGAAAAAAGTGTGTCTTAGAGAGCGAAAAATACGGTATATCCCATTGAAATAATTAGGGCTTCCATTAAGGGTAACTTAATTCCATCCCATTTCTTTGTGTGGGACCTAGTTACAAATGCTGAATCGTGTTCAGTGGCTGAAACAATAACATCATATTGAGCAGCTCTCATTTCAGGTTGAACTGTAAATAAATATATTGCAAAAGTTAGCTCGATATAGAACAGGCTGTAGGCTTGAGGGGTCAGGGGAATAATAGTGTATAAATGTGTTATAGGTTCTGTTTGTCTTTGCAGTGAAATGCAGGGTTTAGAACCTGTATGTGTAACCCTTGGAGACCAACAAACCATTTGGGTTTTAGACATCTGTGGAAATCTGTGGTTCAGAACAGGCGTTGTTTCAAAGAAACCACAAGGAGATGATAAACACTGGTGGCAAGTACGCACCTCTTATTCTATTGTCAACAAATAGAGAAGAGCTTTAGTTTTTCCATGCATAAGGACATAATTTCAATCCAGGGCGGCTGGATTTTTAATTTAATATTTATATTTTTAATTTATATTAACTTAATGATGTGAGCCACCCCGAGGCTTCGGCGAATGGGGCGGCATAAAAATGTTTTAATAAATAAAATAAATAAAAATAAAAAATCCCAGTCAAAGGATCCCAGCAGGAAGGTCTGGGCAAGACCTCTGCTTGCCGTCTTGGGGAGGTACTGCCCCTCAGATTCAGCTTCCGTGGAGCCATTCTTACACATAGTTAACATTTTTGTTAATCCTTACCACAGGTGAAAGGGTTCTAATGAAAACTATGACAAACAAGGCTTCAAATGACCTCAAACAAGCCATTCATAGGAGGCTTCTTATATCTCTTTTTTGTTATGTGCCATCAATTTGTCTCTGAGTTATGGCAACCCAATGAATGAAAGCAATCCAAAATGCCATATCCATGGCAGCCCTACTCACCTCTTGTAAATTCAAGGCTGTGGCTTCCTTTATAGGGTCAATCCATCTCCTATTTGGTCTTCTTCCTCTTCTGCCTTTGACTTTCTTTAATATGAATGCCTTCTCCAGGAAGTTTTACCTTCTCATGATGTGCCTAAAGTAGGACATGCTCAATTCTGTCATTTTTGTTTCTATCCTAAATCTATATTATTTGAACAGTTCTTGAACCTGATGCCTTCTGGGTATTTTGAATTACAACTCGCACAACTTTGACCATAAGCCAAGGAAAGGGACCTCAGGCCACAGAACTAAATTTGCTATTTCTCCAAATAGCTGTGCCTCCTTCCCTGGCCCTTTGCCCTTCTCCCATCTGCCAGTTGTTTGGTGATTTCCTGGCTTTAGTACAGTGTCTCCCTCATTCTAAAAGTTGGAATAAGATGCACCCTGTGACAGGGAGGTTTTACTCTAAGTCAGGGGTCCTCAAACTTTTTCAACAGGGGACCAGTTGAAAGGTGCCTGCGATGGGTGCGGGCTGCCAAGGCGGTGCAGGTGGGGAGGCGCGGTGCGAAGTGGGGACAGGCACACATGTGCGTGCGCATGGAGATCCTTTTCTCGGAGCTAGTCCAAAACAATTGCCACACAAACAAGTCACCACCTTGCCACACGCGTGTGCGCACACAGCAAATCCGAAACATTTATGGTGGGCTGGATCCGGCCCTAAAGTGTATTGTTTTTTGTGTATTTGGTCTTACCTGTTTTGCCTTTGGCTCTGTTCTCTTTGCTTTTGACCCCCCCACCCCCAAATCACTGGAATGCAGCCCCTGTGTGCTTTTCCAAGGTCGTCTTTGTGTTAAAAAAGGTTTTATACCTTGGAGGTGTGTGAGCATTCTTGAGCTCAGAAAAGAAAGAAGCTCAGATATCCAGTGCTATCAGATGCTTAGTGCTGCCGTCTTGATTTTCTTGTCGAACACAGGATTTTATGCCTCCATCTCTGTTTTTTCTACCCTTTTTCAAAAAACACTGCTTGTGCAGCTTGCTTGTGGTGCAATATCCACTCCCATTCAGGATATTGCAGTACTCTTTACTGTTCTCAAAGGACTATAACTTCAGAGCTCATATTTCAGCTCATTTAAAGCTGAGTTTTATTATCAACATACCAGATAGCATGTTCTTTCTTTCTCTTGTCCCTGATTCTGAAGTATAAAATTCAAGCAGCTTGATGTGCAAGGTGTGCAAAACTCATTATTCCAGAAACTTTGTGCAGTGCTACCTTTCCCCGTTTTTCTAGTAGCTATAAAGAGCTGCAAATATGGGATATGATCCAGGCAAAAAGGGAACTGTTGCTCTCAGTTGGAGAGTTAATTCTTCTGAAAAACTCTCTCATTGCAACCAGTGTGTGAATTCATGTGGATGTTTTTCTCCTTTTGTGTATTCAAAGCCTGTGGAAGATGGCACTCGGGCTCCTATGCTAGACAGACCCTTGATCTAATCCAACAAGGGAGGTTGCTTAACATTCTCTGGTCATTTTGCCCATTCTTCTCCCCCTAGGTAAGCATTACGGATTATGTCGTGTTTGACCAGAACAGCCTTTTCCAGACCATAATCCAGGCAACCCAGACAGTAGCTACAGCAGCCCAGGCCCCCGTTGAGAAGGTGGCTGACAAACTCCGCACAGCTTTTTGGTCACAGCAGCTCCAGAGTCAGCCAAGTCTACTTGCGGTCAGCAGTAGCGGTGTCTGGATCTCCTCTGGGAAGAATGAGCTTCACGTAGCAAAAGGAAGCCTTGTAGGTAGGTGCAATTTTGTTGCTTGTAATAGTAAAGCAAGTTGCAGAGCATTAATGTGTTTCTGTTTGTCCCAGTTACTTTAGTGCAGAACATTTGCTGAAAGATGCAGGACAAGCGCGCTTGTGTTGTTATGGTACAGCAAGGTTCAAAGTCTGGCACAGCTGTGGTGTTGCAAGGCTTGTATAGGCATAGCAGGATGCCTTGCATCACCCTGTATTTCATTGTGTTTTTCTCCTCTGAGCTGGGCAAACACAGTCAGCGGGACTTGGGCAGGCATACCGGACTTGGCTCTATAGCAGGGATGGGAAATGCGTGGTCCTTCAGATGTTGTCGGACCACAATTCCTATTGTCTGTACTTCTGGCTAAGTGGGTGAGGCTCATGGGTGTTGCAGTTCATCAGCATTTGGAGGACCGCACTTTCCTCATCTCCTCTTGTATCGTAGCCACTCATGCAAACTCTGCTGGTCCATTTTTTCGGCAGACCAGAAATCCTTGCTGCCCAGGTTGCAGATTTGCTACCTTTGTAACGAATTTATCAAAAAATGCATGTCTGTTCCGGCATTCCTCCAAGGAGCTCAAGGTGGTGTACAGAGCCTTTCCCAGGCTGTGTCCTTCTGAGCACTAATGAGGTGCAAACTTGCCCAACTTGAGCAAAGTTGCTGCTTGACATTCCTTCAGACCATGCCCAAAAATAAGTGCCAGAGTGCTGCTTTAAATCATATGGTAGCTAAAATCATGGTCTCTCAGTCATGTCCTTTTCTAGAGAGACATCAGTGTTTTGGTCTAAAGCATCAGGCTTTCACAAAGAACATTTCAAGAAGGATACCCTCAGGAGCTGGCACCTCTCACTGTTGATGGCTTGCTCAGAACTCCACTAAGCTATATGCTTATCTAAGGAAATGGCCAAGATTGGGAGCCAGTGTGGTTTAGTGGTGAAGGTTCATGTGATCTGGGTTCTCATCCCCGTTCAGCCATGGAGCCACCTGGGTGACTTTGGGCCAGTCAGAGTCTCTCAACCTCACAGGGTTGTTGTGGAGATAACATTGAGAGCAGGAGGAGGTTTAAGCTGCTTTGAGTTTGTTGTAAGAAAAAAGTGGGATATAAGTCTAATAAAATAGCAATGGCTGCACTTTTACTATTTTATAGAAATAACCTTTTGGGTTAAAATTTGCATTGCTTAAAGCAAAGCTCAAGGCTAAATTTTACAGCTGAAAACTGATTGTTCTGACTGTACTCGGGCTTGCTGGACCTTTTCCCCATGCTCAGCCCTGGCCTCCTAGCCAGCTAAGCTGAGATCACGCTCGGGAACCAAACTGACTTCACTTGCACAATGAAGGCAGCATGTGTGCAAGCCAGCCTCACGGACTCACTACCTGCCGGATGCCCATGCAAGACTTAAAGCAGAGAGGAAGGAAGCTGGAGTCCAGGGAGCTAAATTGAGCTTTAGCAAACTATCTGAATATCTGGATATGCCTTTTAGTGACCAGTGGGAATACTGCTGACTTTCTGCACCTTTTCCAGATGCCATGAGGGCTTTTTTGCCTGCTGAATTATTTTTAAGGCTCAAAAACAGCCTTTCCACCTATTATAATGCCCATTTTCCTTTTCTGCCTTAGTATCTCAAAATTAAGTCCGGGAGTGGGAGGGTCCAGTGAACTCATCTCCCATAATGCACCCTGGTTGCAGAATCTGAGTTTTTCCCTCTCCAGGAAAATGTATTTAGGTTCTCTTTACCACCTATACAAAGAAGCAAAGGAATCATTCCATAGCCTATAACTGAAATTATCAGCTGTACCCTCTACCTGGATTGCATTTCCTGCCTCTAGGCTCCTTGTGTTGTTGGCTGCTGTTGCCTTGCCATTCAGCACAGCTCTGCTGCTATCCCAGTCTCCTGCTGCACTGAAATAAAATGGTGATTGTGCAGTGAAAGCTGTATTCACGTAATGGCCATTTATTCCACTGGCTGCTTGCGCAGGATTGAACAAAGCTCCCAGTGGAGTTTCAGCAGTACTTACTCAGCAGCCAATTGTTTCAGCAGGGCTTGTGTGGGACAAGTTCCAGGGAACAGAGCAACTGCTTTGACTGTGCTAAGAAATGCTTTCTTTTTTCAAATCAGGGAGCTGTGAACCCCAGCCAAACCCATTCTGGATTAATCTGCCACCCTTTTATGCTTGGTTATAATGTGTCCTGATTGACTGAAGCTTAAAACTGCACTGAGAAATTTGAAAATAAAAAGGAAGTTGGGAAATTTGCCTGAGGAGGGGCCTCTTGCTTTTCCAAATACATGCCAATCCAATAATATATGCATAAAGGAGGAATAAAATCTAATCACAGAGAGGGCAGTAAAGCAGATCATGCCAAGTTTCACACATATTCATCAGCATGTATGGAAATTCATGTAGTCTGCCTAAGAATAAACTCCCTTAGTGTTTGCTTATATAGAATAGATGGGAGACATGGAAACCAATATAACCAAATAACTTGCAGGCAGGAAGCATTGCAGTGGCATATAATGCAATGTAATAATTTTGTTCCTGCTGGATAGTGTCAAGGGGATATAGACCAAGCAACTGCCAGAGGTTGTGCAGATGTTCTGAAGTCAGGAATGTGTGCTGCTCAAAATATATGAAGAAGGAAGCAACACATGTATGATGACTTCACTTGAAGGAACTGAGGGAGGGGTAGTGAGCAAGAGATACTGAAAGTGTGGCTTTCGGCAAAAACTCCTCTGGTCCAATCTGGAGATGTCCATTCAGTCTGCAGCACCCAACAGCTGAGGCACTCTGGGTTGTTTACTAGGATTAAAGGATTAAAATACATTATAGTAACATTACAAGCATAATACAAAGAAACCCCAAAGAATAAGAAGAAATACTAGAACCTGTTAAATGTGTTGTCAAATGCCTGGGAATAGACCAACTGGTCAAATGTAATAGGACCTTAGTTTGTAACTGCCTAGGACAGAACTAAGTTAGGATAAATTGCAACCAGTCCAGACTCCTTTGAATGGGGTGGGAGAAAGTATATGTAAACTCTCTACCAAACTCTAGGTTATATACAACATTTTACAGGACATCCTGTGCAAAAGAATGCACAAAGAAAGTATGTGGACTGCTTCCCCTGCTCAGTGCTACAAGGTAAATTTAGAAATAAGTGGATCTGAAAAATGTTTAGGTTGCTTTTTCTACATTACATTTATATCCCACTTTTTCCCCTCTTGTGAGGAACCCAAGGAACTTACATGATCCTCTTCCCCTGCTCCAATCTATCCTCACAACTGCTACCCTGTGAGGTAAGGTAGGGTCACCCAATGAGCTTCATGGCCCACTGAGGATTAGATCCCACATCTCCTGAGTTCCAGTCAAGCATTCTAACCACTCCCCCACACTGGCTTAAAGTTTGTATTAGTTGTATAAACTGGATCAGATATATTTATACTCTGGGAAATGGTTCTTCTGCAGCCATTTCCATGTTCCTTAAGGCTTATCCTGCTTTTTTCATTTCGGTTGTGAGATGTTTACTTTATTTCATCCACAAACCACTGAGGATTTCAGTCAGCAGTATTGAGAATTTCTGTGTCTGTAAAAATGAGAATAAGAATCTATCCTGCTTGAGAAATCTTGAATGTGAGAAACTGTGAAATGGTTGGCATGTTGAACGCAAGTGAGCAGTTCTGTACACTAAGAATTCAGTATTCTCTTTTGGCCCAGCAATTGAGAGTGGTCTAGGGAAGCAAAATTCTCAAAGACCCATCTGCATCTAAGAGCAGTCAGTTATGTAACCTGAAGCTGAAATCTCAGGATAACAGAGTATGGGACAGAGTCAACAGATTGGACAAGTGTGTTTTTCTTTAAATGAGCTTTCCGTTTGCTTCTTCAGGTACGTACTGGAATAACGTTGTGCCTCGCGGCACTGCTTCAGGCACAAAATGGGCTTTTGTGTTGGCTTCTGCTGCTCCAACAAAAGAAGGTAAAATATGTTTTGGGGCTGTCTTGTAAGTTCATGGGGCATTTCAGTTAAAGTGAAGAAAGAGACAAGTCTTGGCCTTACCTATTCAGTTACATATTGCACTGCAAGTTAAAGACATTAACAGGAATCAGACAAAAGGGAAATATAAAACAGAGCTATTCCTGTCTTTGGTAAGTAGCCTTTGCTCTGAACTGTGATATAAAAAGAAAGGAGCTCATCCTGGTCGATCCCATAAAACCATTTATAAACTTGGAAATCTTATTTAAGATTCACAAGTGTTTCATTTATGGTTTAAAGCAACCTCCTTCAACCTGGTGCTTTCTAGCTGAGTTAACGAGAACTTCCAGAACTGGCCAGAAGGGGAATGCTGGGAGTTATGGAAAGAATGACAATCCAGCTGCAGGGCACCAGGTGGAGCAAAGCTGTTTAAAGTTTGCAGTTTATTTTCAGCCCTTTTCTCCCATAGCAAAAATATATTAATTGCATTAACTTCAGCTTATCTAAATAAGCATACTTAATCTTCAACTTTCCATGTTTCTATGGTGGCTGGGTTACTGCCCCCTCAAATTAGTGGCCATCACTACATGTTGTACCTCTGTCTTGTTAGGAGGAGATTGTGCTTAAACAGGTGAAAGGTGGGATTTTTGTGGAGGGAGGGAATTTTAAATGGGGAGTCCAGAAAAGGATGCTGAGCTCTTCCTTTGCCTGTGCTTTTCCGTCCAAAACTGTCTACCTGTGGCCAGTTATTTGCCAGCCTGAGCATCACCAGCACCAGAAACAAGCCACACCAGGAGTGAATTAGCCAGGTTGTTTTGGAAGAAAATGCATGGATGGACCTAGGATCCTTGTCCATACACATGAGATCACTCCTTCCTATTGTATGTCTGTTTGGCGGCATGCAGTGCTGTGCAGCACTGGTCTTCCATCAGAATCTCTAGTTAAGAGAAAACATGCTGGTGCAAAGGCGCAGAAAAGAGAATCCACCAGAAGTGGACAGAAAATAGAGAATCTGTTGGGGTCAGTGGAAAAGACAGAATCCATGGGTGGGCAGTAGAAAAGAGAAATGCCAGGGGGGAAATGACAAATACACCTGTGGGCATGAAAATGTTGCCTACCACTCAGGGTAGTATTGTGCTATGCCCAGGCATCAGTGGGGCCTACGACAAATGCAGTGGAGCGTTAACACTTCTTAAAATGACTAAAAATGCTCAAACACTCATTTCCAGGGCAGATTGTATCAACATCACTCACAGAAGGGAACACCACTGACTGGGCTCAATCTGAAAAAAAGCATTTCCACTTGTTTCCAAGATTATTTTAGAAAGTACTTTTAAAGAAAACAAGTTTCTATTCTACATTGTTTTGTGCTGCCGTGGGTTGAATCTGGAAATAGAACTTGTTGCTATACTTAGAAATAAAAATAAAGCAATTCCTAAAGGTCAGCACATGCATAGTATCTTAGCTAAGGGGATGAACTTTGAGTTCCCAGCTCAAATCTCACCTTGGAAATAAATTCACAACATTTCTTAAGCAAACAGCAACCTATGACAGGAAACATGCTGGGCAGGGTGAATTTTTACCCTGTGTTAACATTTGCATTTGACCGGTTTCCTTGTTTTTGGAATACATATTTCACTTTATTCTTAATAATGCACAGATGTTGAATAATTTTGTAACACTGAAGCCTTTCTGAAAAACAGATTTTACAACTAAACCTTTGTCCTCCTCACAGGAAGCTTTTTGTGGCTGTGCCAAAGTAGCAAGGATCTATTTTGTGTCAGTGATCAAAATCCTCAGTTCCATCCTTCAACAGTTCAGTTACCCTCTGATGGTGAGATGGTGTGCTATTCTGCCTGCCAGGATGCCATATGGAGCCTGGATAGTGTGGGGCAGATCTTCATTAGGACTCTTTCACCCACCTGCCCAACAGGGATGCACTGGACCAAACTGGACCTTGCTCAGTTAGGTATGGCTTCTTATATACTGTCTCACGAAAGTCCTAACTTAAATGCAGACAAGTGAAGAATATTTTTTTTTTCTGATCACAAAAAAACAAGGGTTAGTTATTTAGGATTCTCTCAGAGAGACACAGGAAAGTCAAAAATATAAATTAAACCTCTGTCAAGAAGGTCAGAATGTTGTATAGATAAGCCTGGAGGCAAATGTTTCAACATCAGTCCACAAAAGACTGTAGTTTATGATAATCATGTAGAAAAGTAATTGAATGTCTCTGGCGATGATGTTTTTCTGGAACTAATCATTACATAATGCTGAATGCATAAATTCACTGTGCGCGGTGACTGTAGCAACTGGTTCCGACTGGTGACAGGCTCACTCTCTGTTGCTGGTATGCACCTACAATAACAGGTCTTTTTAACATAAAATTACTTGCTGATGTTGCCTGTCTCTCTCAGACAGATAACAAACAAGAGAGACTTCTTTTTGGCCTCAGCATAAGCAAGAGGCACACCCTCTGCATAACTGAGAGTTGTAACAACCATCAGTACTTCTGCTTTGAGCTTTATCAGAGGTGGCTCTATATTTGGAACAAATGAACAGAGAAACTTTTTCTCTGACCCATTTGGGACGGAGAAATCCCTCCACAGCTAGGTACATTTGTGCCAATTCATGGCATGCAGCTCCCAGTTATCAGAGATTACCTTCTATTGCATTCCTCCAAGAATCTCAGTAAAATGTTGAGTATCCAGTCTGTCCTCTGCCCCACCAGCCCCAGTGAGCACCAGCTGCTACAGGTTGCATGGACAGGTAACAGGCATGCTTGAAATCTACTGATACATATTGTAGTTTTTATAAGTATATAAGTATTTTATAAGACTAAATATAAGTAGTCTTGCCATGTTAGTTGCTATGCCTAGAAAATCCCTTTTACTTTTCTAATTTTTGATTATGAAAGATAATGATCAGATGGAGGGATAAACAGTGCCAGCCCAGCAAAGTGTGAAGTGCTCTTTGAGAGAATACTTGTATGGATGCCTTGCAGGGTCCTGGTAGGTAAGGCAGGAAGTACTGCCGTCAGGGCCAGCCAATACAAGATCAGAGTGTCTGTGTCACTTCCCTAACCATCCCATATCACTCCAGTACTGACCAAATGGGGGAACAAGTGGAAAAAGGGTAGAATCTCACTTGGCTTCCACCCCCATATGCACTCCTCCCCACTGACTTTGGGTGCTTATCAGTCACCGCAGGGGTGCAGAACCTCAGCCCTGCAGGCCACATCCAGCACACCTGGAATCCCCATCAGGCCCTCTGAGGCTTCTCATCTTCTCATGTTTTTCCTCAGCCCAAAGGTAAAGCTGAAGCTAAAATGATCTGATATTTTTTGTCCGTGGCCTTTTTGCCTTTAGTTCAAGCATCAGCTGGAATACAGCCCCCAAGAGTCTCTCCTAAATTGAATTTGGTCCTCAGTCAGACAAAAAGAGGTTTGACCCTGCCCCCCTGCCACCCACCCAATGAAAATGGGAAGAGGTTATCTTCTGTAGCCAAAAAAAAAAAAAAAAAAGCTTCTTGCTTAAAATTTAAATGTGTCCCCTGGAAAACAAATTCAGAGGTGATGAGATTACATTAGCAAACAGAGCAATATGCTTTGGAATTTCAGTTCTGCAGTCATTTCCTTATGTACTTTCATAGAGTCCAGGACTCCAACATTTGATTTGACTAAGATTGTACTGTTATCTTCTAAAGCTGAATGGGTGTTGATAGGCTTCTATTGACCATAAAGATCTGCCCCTCTGGATAAACAGTACCAGCCTTGATAAAGGGAAAATCCAAAATGGAGTGGGAAGGGGGCCTCAGAATGTTGCATAAGGAGTCCATCTTTGGATATCAAATTGTGCTGGACTTGTAAATAAACTCCCAGCAATGCAGAGCAGGTGATATGTGACTCCTTGCTCAGAGGCCCCTAGTGTTTATTTAGATCAAAACCAACAGCTGAGCCATCAAAAGTGCAAGCCACTGTGATCCAACATGCTTTCTTCCATCAGGAGCAATAAGATTTTATTTTAAATAGCGCCACTGAATGTCAAACCTGGAGGAGCAGTTGAATTATGCTGATGACTGTTTTTTTGTCCCTGCTGCTATTTTGAGGCAGGCAGGTCTTATGTAATGGTGCTAAAATAAAGACAGAATTCAAGAAATTATAAAGGAATAAGCCAGGAACATTCCAGTACTTTATTGTTCTCTTTGTTTTAATCCAGTCGTGATAAGGCCATTTTGAAACCTTATCCTGTCCATTTATTTAGTGCATTTGCGTAAGCGTGGAAGCTGTCCCTCATGTTCCTTAAAGGTTTTGCCATTGTCTTCTGAAACTTATTTTATATTGTGGGCGACTTATTTTATATTGTTAACTTGTTTTATATTTTTATTGTATAATATTTTAATTGATATATTTGTGAGCCGCCCCGAGGCTTCGGCGAATGGGGCGGCATAGAAACTTTCTAAATAAATAAATATCCAGGCCTGAACCATTCTTGGACAGGTTATAACCGTTTCTATATACCAAGAAACATCCTGGGCAGCTAGAGATGCTGTTGAATAGTCTTACTGAAGAGATGATTTGAAGTAAGACTGACATTAGTTATTTCCTGTTCTCTTCTTTTCTGGAAAGACCAGAACGTACAGCAAGGGAATCCTGACATTCTTCCTGCCACTGATCTTAGTCACAACAGATATATAAGGTGGGAACTCACTATCAGTCTTCCACAGAGCTTTGACACACTAAGAGAAATGAGCATACCCAAACCTGCTTTTGATGCAAACCATGTACAAACCCTTAGTTTCTTTTGTTATACTCATTCAAGAAAAAGTTCTGTGGAGAATGTAGTCATGAAATATTAAACAGTGATAATATAAGTGCAATTTGGTGCATTCTGTACACTTTTTGTCTCAGTAAGCCTATGGACAGTGTCTTGCACACTGAATCATTCTCGCTGTATCTCTGTATATCTTATTACTCCCTTGCAGGCATGTTATGCAGAGCTATGGAGGAAGCTTATGAATGGTTCTCAATATCCAACCTAACCCACATCTTCAGGTTTACCTTTGCAACAGACCTCTTCATTATGTTGCACAATATCACATGCCACAAATTTTGTGGCAGAGCAGGTCATGGTTCTTGCTTCTTTGGCAATGCCTTCCACGGAAGAGCTGTCTTGCGTACACCATTTCCCCATTTTATTTCATTCGAAATATACTGCACAAGATTGCCCTGGAAGAGAAGGTCAAGGGATGTGCTTCTGAACATCATTTTGTGCATCATCTTTCTTCACAAGACTCCTGAGAAATGCACCTTGTGGCATATGGACATCGTCACCTATCCATTTGTCCCAAGACCTCTTGTCTCAGGAGCAGACCCTTTCCCATGATCTGCAGACTATGAAACTAAAGTGTTGCAATCATTAGGGCTTTTGAGAAAACTTGAGGAAATTATTCAGTGCTAGGGATCTCTCTTAAGCTTGTGTTCTCATTTTGCAAACCCCTTCCCAAGCTTGCTAAAGTTGGTCTTGGACTGTATCTTTCACTTATGGGGAAAGTCTTGCTGTCTCTTCTCCCTCTATTTTTTAATAATAACTTTTGCCTTCCATTTTCCAGTTGAAGATTCTTTGGTATAGTTTCAACAGTTAGTGAAATAGTTCTTTAAAGAACTTAACAACATGGTTTCCTTAGTTAGACTCCTGCCTCTTCCTGTAGTTTAACCCTTGTTTTCTCCTAGTAGATACAGTACTCATTCAAGACCTAGAAAAAACTTTTATTAATATCCGCTTTTATTTTCCAAGAAGGTCTTTCTGGTAGCCATCACCTTATGTTCTGACGACATGTACCTCCACATATATTGCAGTAATGCAAGCTTAGTCTTGAGCAGATGTAGAAAATTGTGCTGCTTAAGGGGCTTTTTGAGATAAAGTAGGGCCTGTAGCTCAGTGCTGGAGCTCAGGCCCTGCTCACAAGAAAGTCCCAGCTCCAATTCCCCTTGGCTATTGGGCAATATAAAAATGAAACAAACCGACAAGCAATTAAATATTAAATAGGGCTAGGAAAGAACCCCGCCTGAAATTTTGGAGCTTGACTGCCAGTCAGTGTTGATAGCAATGAGTTAGAGGGTTCGAAGGTCAACTCAGTATAAGTTATCTTCCATTTCTGATGAATGAAAAATAGGGAGATGAGGTTATTTTTGGCTGTCCTAGTGTTTCCACCCTGCAGCAAGGGCATCTCAACGCTTCTCCATGAAAAGAAAAGCAGAATTCCAAAGTTTTTGTCACACTTACATAATGTAGGATGCTGCATCAGTTTTGTAATATCTGAAACCATTGCACCAAAATCACAACCTTTGTTCAAAGTCAATTTTCCCAAAGGATGAACTGTTACAAAAGTTATGAATTTTAGGGTATTTTGCTTACTCGTTGTGCAACAACGTCACACCACCAATCCAAAGCAAATGCATAACTTGCCATCATAAGTTGACTTTCAGACTTTCTTTTCTTATTGGGAACACTATAGCTGATAATGGGATGTTCCAGTCACCACTCAGAACATTCAGTTAATCAGTGAGCTTTACTGTGGCATAAGGGCATTTGTTGTCTTTTTAACTTTGATCAGACTACTTTGTTTTGTATAACTCCATGTTGGCCATTGTATGTGTGTGCTGTTATTTTTGCCAAGTATTTCTAATACCAAATGCAGAAACTCTAGACTCAGTTATGTGGCATTGCGGTCAATAACCTCTAGAATTTTTTCACACCTTCCTAAATGTAAATAACATGGTTGGCGTTTCTAGGAATAAGTACTCTGCTGGTGGATGATTGACTAATGAGAGAGTTATTTCACAGGTTTACACTTTCTATTTTAATACTAAGGAAAGCTGAACACCTTTGATGCTGTTATTTGACTAAAAATAAAAGAAACCTTGCTGATGGTGCAACTTTTTCTTTCTTGCATTGTGTAATAGAAGCAAAAGCTTGGCTAACCTTGAAATACTTATTCCATAACCCATCCAGCAACCACTATTTGCAAGTAACATTTGGAATGTTAAGCACTAAACAGTATTTATAGACCAGGTTTGTAAGCATGACCAGCTTCCAGGAAGAGTTCACATGAGGTCATGTGAAAACTTGCCTCTGTAATTCTACACAGAATTGCTGTCCAGTGACATAGACTGGAGTCCCCTCTGCCCCAACTCCCCTTTGAAAATTATCCTTTTAATAGCAGCAACTGTAGAATTGCACCCTGTCATCCCAAGATGCTTGAATAAAGAAGACTTGTTAAATGAAGGAAACCAACATTTTTCCTTCCTTTTCTTTGGCTTTAATGTTAGTTTTGTATTGTAGACATAGGCCAGGATCCCCATGCTCTGTTCCCCCAAGTAGTATGTATAGTCTCTTCAGTTCAAGTGACCTTCTGCTCAAGTAGTGGCTACACATGGGACGTGAAGGTAGCCATGCCTTCTTTATATGCAAGATGTTGATCATGAAGTTCAAGTCTATTTGTTTGCTGGATTTTATGTGCAAAGACCCTATACAGATGTTGCAAATATGTATGAATCTTTGGTCAGCAGATGTGAAAGACAGAGTCTCACTCCACAACCCACACATAGCTTCTTATTATTGAGGAGGTAACCAGAACCAGCATACACTGGAGGTAACCAGAACCAGAACCAGCATATATTTTCCTACATGTTTCAGTGGAGGAGAGTTACATGTGTGCAGGCATAGAGACATCTCCATTGAAGCACATGTTAAGGAGCTGTCTGGTACACCCTCACTTGGCCTGGTGCTTCAAGGAGCTTCTGGACAGAAGCAGTAGGGAAGTATTCCATGCACAAGCCAAGTAAGGATGTAATTCTAAACCATGGTTTAGTGCAGCAATTTGGAACCACCAGTCCTTTGACTTAAATCTGGTCTATGGAGGTTCCACTGGCCTGCAGAACCTGCTTGGATTTCTCCATAAAGCAGGACTTGGTCTCCAAACCCTGCCTCCTGGAGGAATCCCCATTGCTGCTTTCCCTCCCTCTTTGGTCTTCTTCGTTTCTCTATTTCCCACCACCACCCCGTATAACTCTGTTTTTCAAATCTAGAATGGCATATAAATGCCTGCCTTCAAGTAGTTGATTCTGAGGTCCGATTCCGGGTGATCAAAGGAAATTTGTGTAGCATCACCATTATTTTTATTTATGCTGTGGGAAGATCTGATACTGATTGGAGAAAATGCACTAATGGGAGGTGTGTTTTAATTCTTCCCCCACTACCAGCAAAATCCTCTCTTCCCATGGAAGGGTTGTTGGTGCTATGGAAGGAAAATACTGTAGCTAGGTGGCTTGAGATACTAAAGATTTGATTGTTGACTAACTGAAAGTTAGCCCCCCTCTCTCTCTCTCTCTCTCTCTCTCTCTCTCTCTCTCTCTCTCTCTCTCTCTCATTAGGTGCTGTGAAACTTAGAAGTTTAGCATGTGGAAATCAGCACATCTGGGCCTGTGACAGTTGTGGTGGTATCTACTTCCGGGTTGGAACTCAGCCTCTGAACCCAAGTTTGATGGTGCCTGCATGGATAATGATTGAACCGCCTGTCCAGGTGAAACAGTAGTAGTTCTTTAACTCAGTCACTTATTTGTTTGTCTTTGACATGAAAGGATCCCATTGTTTTTTGTTCAGCAATGGCAGGTGAGAATTTGAGGCTATGGGCTTGGAAATGTTGAAAAACTTTGTGTAACCCTGACAAGTTAGTTGGAGATAGAAGGAGACTCTGAGTAAAGATAGTGCTGGGGAAGAAATGCTCCATCAGAAAGCTCATACTTCTACCCGCCACCTCGTTTCTTCTTTAATTCTCCCACTTCCTCCATAAAAAGTAAGATACTTCTTTGGCATTTTACACACGCACAATTCTTTAGAATCTACATAGCAGTGAAAAAGACCAGTGCACTTAACCCAGCTTGAAATGCATCCAAGAAATAATAGGATTTTCTATTTCAAATTGGGGGTTCTAGTGTTTTCCCTTTCTGGTTTCCAGTAATCCTAGGGCAGCTGCAGGTCCAACCTGTAACCATCACATGTCATGCAGAACCTGATTTGATTGTATGCAGACCCATCCTCCTTGACTTCATCTTAGTACTCTGAACATGCCGGCAGAGTGACCTCATTTTCATGACATGTGAAATTCACTGTGGGTTAAATAACCCACAGTGAGCCCAGATTATTGTGCCAACCAGGCCAGTGAATTCAGTGTTAACTTAGAATATCCCTCCAACCTGTTTTTGTTACATCTTTCTGATGGATGGACCTGGAGATTGCAACAGCTCGCAAATATTTGGTAATCTTTTGATAATTCATCTTTTTGGTGTTACACTGACAATTTGGAATTTTGCTTATGGTCAGCACAGCTATACCTTCCCACACCTTTTTTTTAAAGTGCACTCTCTACAGTTGCCAAGATTTCTTGGAAAAGAGAGTTTCATTTATCTAATCTGTCTGAAGGGTTTCTTTTCTTTACTAGCCAAGTAAGCCTTGCAATTTAACGTGGCCATTCAGCATTCTGTTTGCAATTTTGATTTTCTGTTGATGTTTAACTGGATGACTACACTGAGCATCACACTACCAAAATTAAATTTGTTGCAGTCAGGGCACCATTGTGCTTGACATCTGTGTCTATTTCCATAGAGGGTCTCCAAGGATATAAAGGGCACCAAGTGGTCCCTTTCTTGATTGTTGACATATTGGAATTTAAGTTGTGCATCTGTGGTCAGGAGGACATCATATTGAGTCAGGATGAGACATATCTGCATGCACACACACCCCATTACAGGGTTCACTGTGTGAGCAAGCAGGAGTGGGCCATGCCTCTGACAAATTAGACTGTTGGACTAGGCCTGGAGAAATCTGGATTCTGGCCTCCACTGGACCATGGAAGTCACTGGGTGATATTGGCCCAGTCGCTGACTCTCAGCATAACCTACGTCACAGGGCTGTGGGAAGCCAAAAGTTTAGAGGAGGAGGTGTACCACTCTGGACCCCTTAGAGGAAAGGTGGGATACAAATATCACACATAAATAAGATCAAGCTCCAGGTCAGATCTGAAGACATTTTTGAAGCAGGTTGAAGGCACAAAATTTATTTATTTATTTATTTTCCGATTTATATCCTGCCTTTTTCATCCAAAGGGCTCAAGGCAGCTTACATCTTTTCCTCCTCCATCTTATCCCCACAACAACAACCCTGTGAGGTAGGTTGGGCTGAGAGTCTGTGTCTGGCCCAAAGTCACCCAGTTGGCTCCATGGCTGAGCAGGGACTAGAACCCAGGTCGTCTGAGTCCCAGTCCCATGCTCTGAACCACTACACCACACAATGTAATACCTCAAGCAAAATCTCTTAAACCCTGTCCTTTACTTGCTTATTTTATTTATAAAATCACTCAAGGCAACATGGAAGCCATGGAGTAAGAGCCTAACAACACATAAGCTACTCTGCTATGAATTTATTTATTTATTATTTATTTAAAGTATTTATATGCCATCCTGTCGCGAATGTGAATGTCCTTGTTAAGGAAACAGTGAAATAATACTAAACTCGTTCAGACTGCCTTGGAGCCTGAGTTTTCACTTGAGACCTAAATTCCTTTTGGATTGTTTTCTGTCTGTCCTCCCTCACATCAAGTGAAGCTGTGCTGATGCTGTCCTCCCCTTATCACTTATGGGGCCTTTTGCAGCTTCTGCATTGTAAAATACCAAGATATTCTCTGAGCACAGTTGCCATAACATGTTCTCTTATATCATTGTTCACTAAGCTCTGTTTAGCACATAGCAGGCAGCTGCTGCGGCGGCTAGTTGAAGAGTTGGACAGAGAAAGAACAGAAGGGAAAGGAGAGAGGGTTCGTTGCAATTTTTGATCTGGCTTAGCGAAATGCAGTCTGTTGAGGGGCCCAAAACTGTGCAGTGTCATAGATGTGGGCCTAGGTTTAGAGAGGTTATTCACAGAGGAAAGAGCAATTTGACAGATAGCAACTGAAGCAATAACATGTAATTGGATAAGTTCTTCGAAGGATATCCTACCCTCAAATACACAGATCAGTCCACACCAGAAAATGCATCAAATGATGAAGAGGGCTCCTCTTATTTCAGGAAGCAAAGGCAGACCTTTGCCTGTGAGGCAGATCAAAAGGGCGTGCTGCACACCGCTTGCACACTGTTGCGTGTGCCTTTAGAAGTGTCAACTGAAGCAGTCCTGTGCCTATCAGAAGGGGCTTGCTTGTTTGTTTTTTGTTTTTTTAGTAATGCTAGAAGTGTTGATTTTTTAGCCAGGGTGGTAAAGGAATGAAAATAAAGACCGCATTTTCCAAACAATTAAACCTTTTAAAACTAGTTTCCAAACCTTTGCCCCCATTAACTGATTTTGTGCCTTTCCCAGCCCTCACAAGTAGGGCCAATGTTTTATTTTTGCCCTTTGGAGTGTCCCTCAATCCAGAACCAAATAATTTGCCAAATCAGCTTTAATCCCAGGCACTAACTTTCCACTCTAACTTCTCCAAATATACCTCAGGAGAAGCACACACACACACACAGAAAAGGCCAAAGTATGTGTGACTGAGAATCACCCTCTGCTTGTGAGTAGTGTAATAAAGATGAAAAGTCAACAGGAGGAATCTGGCGGTGTGCCCTCTTTGCAGGGGTGGGGGAACCCTCATTTTATGAGGGAAGCATTGTTGACTTCTCCAGCATGATGGACCTTGTGATGTGATACCTGCTTCTCACAACTTGCTGGTAGAAAGAGCGGAATGCATGAATATTACACTTTCTGGAATAATAAGAATGAGGAGGTTTCTCTGGATAGGGTTCTTCTGTAGCAAAGTTGGTTCTTCTGTAGCAAACATTCACCTGCTCAGGAAGTTTCTTTTCATAGTTTGAAGTTCCTGGAAATAGAGAAAGCAAGAAATTCAAGGATGCAGTTCAGGCTAGATCAGGAAAGATTTGTTCAGACCTTAAGCGCTCACTCGCTCTCTCTTTCTTTGTGTGTGTGTGTGTGTGTGTGTGTGTGTGTGTTGGGGGGAGATAACATTAATCATCTTTTCCAAGGCACCACTGTGGCTGTCCCTTCTGTGCTTGATAGCATTGTTTTCGGACTAGGTGCTTGCTGGCTTGCCTCCCAAACATCAGCAACACAAACCTAATACAGCAAATCTCAAAGGACAAAAAATTCAGACTCTGTTTTTACTTCCAGAGAATCCCCACCCCCATCTCTGGTTGCATAAGAATGTCTGGGAGAATTGCAATACCTCAAGCCCTGTTGTTACAAGAAAATACAAAAGTGCAAGTTTGCCCCTGCAATAAATTACCTTAGTACCTCCTAAAAGCCAGGTCAGCTCTAGCTTTTGATTAGCAGGTGCTAACAAATTAGTGGCTTACCCACCATATTCACAGGAACAGACAAAATAAGAGATCTGGTGTGAGGTGTGGGGGGAAACTGAGCTTTTCAGTTGCTTATGATACAGAGCTGCTCTTACAATATGCTTCCTGCTCTTAAGGAGGTCGTATACTCCGGCCCTCTAGTTCAGTCGAATAATTTGCCCCATCTCAACCCACGAGTCATAACATTTCCCTGTGAACATCTGCATTTTCTTCTTCAGTGAAGCTACTTGCATAACACTCCAGAATTCAGGGGCTATGTGGCTCCTGTCAGTATTTATACAGATCATATATCTGCAACTTAAAATAACATTACTTGGATTTTCTCAAGCTTTTTAGAGTGTTCCTTTCATCATGTTCTTCTTACATCCTGTTGGGTGACTTTTGCTTTCTCATGGGAAAGCAGATCATCCGTTTACCATTCTGCTTGCTTGTGGTCAGCAACACAAGAGCTGTTAAAATACTGCAGAGTTGTTTATGGTAGCGTGCCGTGTTCTGCCCCTCTAAAGATGCAAACTGTTTATTTTCTATTCTGGTGTGTGAGAATTTCAGTCATTTTCACTCCCCACCTCCCTATTCCCTTTATTCAGTACCTTGGCATTTCTGTACTTTACCATGTAATTTACATTTTGTGAAATTTTGTAGGAATTCTCCCCATGTTTTATAAATACCTATGACAGAATAGTAAAATGTGCACTTCAAAATACAATATGTAGCTTTTAATGCCATATTGGAGAGAATTAATTTTCTTTTATTATATTTTCTTCTTTTATATTTAGAAATAATCTGCAGCTATAGTTATAGGGAAGGAATTAATCTTGTTAAATATTTACTGTAAGACGGTCTTTAGCTCCCAGTTTGTTTTAATAGGATGTCTTACTATTAATGGTCTGCTTATATGGGTTCTAATGAACTTCATAATTGAGGCACTTCAGGTTTCTCAAATTATTTATTTAATTAATTTCTGTACCACCCGATAGCTGAGGTTAAAATCAAACAAAAGTTAACACAAATATTTTAAAAGAACAAACCATTAAGCAATTGCTATGATTCAGCATAGAAGCATAGCGGCAGTACAGAATAAAATTATTCAAAGATTCCTATTCCCCCCGCAGCCCTCCAAAAAACCCCAATGTGAGATAGAAAAATGGGGAGGAAAGATTTTGCTCTATGAATTTCCTTAATTTAGCCTAGCTTTGGATCTAGCACCTTTGAATCTCCCTAAGTTTAAACAATACCACAATCAAAGCAATATTCAAAAATGGTCTTTAATTCAAGGAATGTATTAGTACGGGGGTGTTTCTCTTTAATGGAAAGCAGTGGGCATAGGAGAGAACTCTGTTGTAAGAGTGCAGAATGCTTCTGTGTAAAGGTTTTAAGAGGACATGCATGTGTCTGCTTAAGCACATGTCAGGCTTCCACTGCTAATTTTTTTTATGGCTCCTGGTTCTCATTTGGGAAATAAGCCTGAAAAATGAGATTGCAAGATAAATTTCAGCGGTAGATTGTGCTTGCACCTCCTTTCTCCTGTAATTTCCAATATAGCCTGTATTTAGCTGCCTCATCTTGCCATGCTGATGGAGTACCAAATAGTATTTGATGATGGGTAACATATCTAGGTCGTACTATCCATTTTTACTGCTTTTTTCATTGCTCATTTCATCTTTCAGAGCCATTTTTGTAATACAATTGCTAGAAGTGAGAGGCCCCTGCAGCTAACAAACTTACTCCTGGAGTAGTGTCATCAAAGTACATTTGTGATCTTGCAAATATCTCTGGCTTTTCCTTTAAAAGCCATCCTGCTCAATAAATGTTCAATACGTCTGGTACATCAACATTTCTCCCTCTTGAAAAGAACAATCCTTTTAGGATGCTTCAGAAGTTGAACTCTTTCTTCCGACCACTAATCATTTGCTGGTTTCTTGGTTTTTTTGTGCACTTTTTCCCATTTTCAAAGTTCAGAAGTCTTAATAACTTCAAGCTACAATTGCTCCAGTTCTGCCCATGCAGCCCCTGAGAACTTCTCCAAACTGTAATGTGGATCTCAGGCTGAAAGAGGTTTAACACCACTGTTCTGGTTTAACACCCACGTTGTTAGAAGAGTACGGTTGATTCTACTCATTGGTCAGCCAACATTTCCAAGTGGGAGTGGAAAGAGTACATTTATCAGGGAGAAATAGAGGGAGGGGGATTTGTGGAGTAAACAGAACTCTGGAATGCTAGATAGGGGAAAACCCAAAAAGGAAAAAGTCCATCAACTCCTAGCAGTCTCCAGGCAGGCTGGTTGGAATTGGAGAACTTTTTTTCTGTTTCAACAGGCCCTTAGAAATACAGTTAAGCTTGTAAGGTATAGTTAATCTGAAGCTGATGTGAAGAAAAGAGTAGCCACAATAGCTAGTTGTTCTTACTATGTCTTGCAGAAGATTCACCCCCAACATTGATTTTTTTCCTCATTTGGTTGCATTACAATCTGGAATTGAAATGGATTGAATTGCCATTGTTACCATTTGATGTACAATAGACATTCAACACCGAGGATGCAAAATTAAAATGCCACGTGTTGGTTGCAGAAAAATCTTCTGCAACTCACTGTACTTTAGCTTAAGTTTTCATTTCCGCTGTTAAGACATTCCATTTTTGATAGTGAAGGTGGTGGGGGGAGGGGACGTCAATTTCAGAGCAAGTACATGGTTCCTCGCAACAGTGTGTGTAGGGCTGTGAGATAGTCTGGAAACCCATATGTGAATCTGTCCTACTGAGCTAGTGCTTACTAAGTCCTTTGGAGGTCCTTTGGAGATGCTCTAGTGAGCTTCGTCCGCAAGACTTTAAACTGAGCCGGGGGGGGGGTTCAGGCCCCCCAGTAACATGTCTGCACTGGACAAGTGTGGGGGGAGGATCAGGGCTCTGGGAGCAGGGTTTTAGAGATACTGCAGGGACTGACAGGACTCCTATGGAGAGGGGCCAGGTATCAGGGAGGATGGGAGGAAGGAGGAGGCTGGGAACTCCAAGGAAGGGAAGTGGTGGGAAGGAGTTGAGGTGCATGTACACCAATGCTAGGAGCATGGGTAATAAGCAGGAAGAGCTTGAAGCTCTCCTGGGAATAGGAGGGTATGACCTGGTGGGAATCACAGAAACATGGTGGGATGAAAGGCAAGTCTGGAATTTGAACATAGAGGGGTATCATCTTTTTAGAAAGGACAGGAAGGGAAAGGGGTGGGGGCGTGGCTTTATACATCAGGGAAGGGATAGGATGCAGTGAGATAGAATGCAGCCCAGATGGGGATTCGGCAGAGGCAGTCTGGGTGAAACTTAGGGGTTTTGACAGGGAAAGAGACCTGACAGTGGGGGTACATTATCGCCCTCCAAGTCAACTTGAGACCCTGGATGATGTCCTGACAGGCCAGATTCTATCTCGGGGGAGAGACACAGTAATTATGGGAGATTTCAGTATCCCGGATATTAGTTGGGAGACTCACTCGGTGGTGACAACCAGGTCATGTCGCTTCCTAGAAGCTATAGAGAGAGGGTTTTTCACACAGAGGGTCCGACAGGCGATGAGGGGAGGAAACATCGTTGACTTGGTCTTGATCAGTAGAGAGGAGCTGATAGATGAAATACAGATTAGGGGAGCCCTGGATGCGAGTGATCACTCCATCCTTTGCTCTGAGATCAGGGAACTGGGGACATGCAGCAGGTCGAGCACTAGAAGCTGGGACTTCAAGAGGGCTAGTTTTGGCCAACTGAAGGCCAGACTGGGGAAAGTCTCCTGGGATAGGTTACTGGAAGGTAAGCGAGTTGAGGAGGGGTGGATGGCACTCCAAAGGGAGGTTTTGGAGGCGCAAGCCTTGACGATACTTCTAGTCAGTAAGGTGGGTAGGCGGAGGAGAGTGCCCGCTGGCCTCCATTTTTGAGGCCTCATGAAGAATGGGTGAAGTTCCAGAGGACTGGAGGGTGGCATCAGTGGTCCCAATTTTCAAAAAGGTTAGTAGAAGGGACATGGGGAATTACAGACCTGTTAGCCTTACGTCCATTGTAGGAAAAACAATGGAAAGGCTCATAATAGAGAGAGATCTAGTGATGCTAGATAGGGAAGGGAGTCTGACAGCCACACAACACAGCTTCCACAAAAACAGGTCCTGTCAGACAAACCTTGTGGAATTCTATGGCAAGGTTTCGAGATGGCTAGATGGAGGGGATGCAGTGGATGTGGTATACCTGGATTTCAGCAAGGCCTTTGGCAGAGTGCCCCATGATATCCTAGTCGAGAAACTGAGGAGTTTTGGGATACACCAAAGCACTGTCTGGTAGATTAGGGCATGGTTGACTGATCGAAAGCAGAGTGTAACCATTAGTGGGGAATCATCGGGATGGCAGCCAGTGACAAGCGGGGTCCCCCAGGGCTCTGTCCTGGGGCCAATCCTGTTTAATCTTTTCATAAATGACATGGAAGAAGGGGTGAGCAATCTGCTGATCAAATTCTCAGATGACACTAAAACTGGAGCAGTGGCCACAACTGAGGAGCAGGTACTCCAGATCCAAAAGGATCTGGACAGACAATGGAAGTGGGCAGGAGACAACAGGATGGCATTCAATGTGGATAAGTGCAATGTCTTGCACTTGGGGCATAGGAATAGGTGTCATAAGTACAGGTTAGGTGACAAGTGGCTGGAGAACAGCACTTGTGAAAGGGACCTCGGGGTACTGCTTGACTGCAGGCTAAACATGAGTCAGCAGTGTGATGCGGTGGTCAAGAGGGCGAACACCACCCTTGCTTGCATAGCCAGAAGTGTGGCTTCTAGATTGAGAGAGGTATTACTACCACTCTCTACGACTCTAGTGCACCTGCAAGTGGAGTATTATGCTCAGTTTTGGGCCCCTCATTACAGAAAGGATATAGCCAGGTTAGAGTCAGTGCAGCGTAGGGCCACAAGGTTGGTGGCCAGTTTGCAGGGGATGGGGTATGAGGAGAGACTGAGGGAACTGGGTCTCTTCAGCCTGGAGAAGAGGAGACTCAGAGGGGATATGTTGGCGACTTACAGGTATGTGAGGGGATGTCACATGGAAATGGGTAGAGACCTGTTCTCTCCTGCAGAGGAGGGCAGGACACACTCCAACGGAGCAAAGCTCTGGGAGCCAAGGTTCCATTTGGATGCCAGGAAGCACTTCCTGACAGGACACCGAGGGTGTGGAATGGGCTTCCACAAGAGATCGTTGAGGCCCCATCGGTGCGGGTGTTCAAGGATAGGCTGGACGTTCACATGGTGGGCATGCCGTGAGCAGAGCCAGCTGGTGCCGGAGGTCAGACTAGATGGCCCAGGAGGCTCCTTCTGACTCTCTCTGTTTCTATGTTTAAGTCTTCTTGAGCATGATGAGACATGCATTTCCACCTTAGATGGTAGTGAATAGATTAAAACTGGCTGCCCTTAAAGGGCTATACAAGGGAGGGTTAGGGGTTTGGTTTCCAATAATGCTCATGTAGTCCTTTAATTGACTGAACATGGTGCCATTTGCAGTGGCTGCTCTTGTCCCACCAAGTGCCCTTTCTTGTAATTCAGTAGGAGCTTTGCTTATAAAAAGTCGCTTTCTTAGGGAACAGGGCCCTTCTTCCCTGTTTCATTTGAACCTGGGATTGAGACCATGCTGTGCAAGACCTGCAGAAGACCTGGATGTACTAAAGTCCAGGACCCAACCATCATACGAGTAACACAAGGAGCTTGAAAGGGCCTGAAATCTGTTTACTGTTTCTGCCACTCTCAAAATCCTGTTGCTGCTGCTGCTGCAATGTATGAGTCACCCAGGAGCTGAAGCTCTCAGGGCAACATACACAATAAGAACAAATAAAACACATCAGGATGCATTCCATTGGAGCTCAGTGAACCAAGGTTCCATTTGGATGCCAGGAAGCACTTCCTGACAGTTAGGATCCCTAGGGTGTGGAATGGGCTTCCATGGGCGGTGGTTGAGGCCCCAGTGGTGAGGTTTTCAAAAGCTCTTTAAAGCTGTTTGGATATCTGGAATTTTCTCTTCACTTCCCCAGTGGCTCTGTTTTCATCTTTTCCCCTCATTTCAGTTCATTATAATTGTATAGCATTCGATAACATAAAATGCTGTGCTTTGGTTTTTTCTAGCCCGTTGGAGTCAACTTGATCAGTGTGTACTCCAGTCCTAATGATCAGAGCCTTTGGGCGATTGACAGCAAATGGAATGTTCATGTACGGGTTGGAATTACGGAGGAAATGCCTGTAGGCACAGATTGGGAACAGGTTCCAGGTAAGAATGCGAGATGCAACACTCAGTTGCTGTTGGAATTCCAGGACAGCTTGGTCCCTCTCTGATTTTAGCTGATTTCATTGTTGGCTGTAAGAAAAGCTGGGTCAGACTAAGTTCCATCTAGTCCAGCATTCTGTTCATAAAGTAGCCAGCCAGCTGCCGGGGGAATTCTGCCTGCTGGAGTCATGTGAATGCAGCAGCACCCTCCCACTTGCATATCCCGTGCCCTCTCTGATGGTGGATGTAGCATTGCCTATCAGGACTAGTAGCCATGGATAGTGTTGCCCCTCATGATTTTGTCCAACCCCCTTTTAGAGAATTGGTGGCCTTTATTACATGTGAAGTACTTCCTTCTATCTGACCTGAATCTCCCACCCATCAGTTTCATGGGATAACACCACCACTAGTATTATGAGTGAGGGGGGAAACAGCTGTCCATCCACTTTCTATGCATAGTGCAGTTTTGTATAGCTCATATCATGTCATCCATTACTCACTATTCTTCCCACCCTGTTTGAATCTCCCACACTGCAAACCTCCTTAACTGAGAAATTGTCTTCATACAGTTCATAGTTAAATTATGGAAGGCTTCATGCTGCCAGATTAGTTATAGCCACTAAATTAGATGACTTTATAAGGTCCTTCAGATGAGGCTCTTCTGCAGTTCTCCTCAGCCCTAGCCAGTATAGCCAGAGGAGAGGACTGGTGGGAGTTGGAGGTCAACAGCATTAGAAAAACTGCATGTTCCTTGGCCCTGACCTGGTCTATCAATGGCTGTTAGTCATTGTGGCTTTGTAAAACTTCCAGGTTCAGACAAAATGTGCTGCTTAATCCTGCAGGAGTGGCCTACTGCCGTCACAATACTTTTGTGGGCTTCCAGGAGGTACTGAGTTGGTCCCAAGGGGAAGCTAGCTAGACAATCTTTCTTTGAGCAATACTAGGAGGAAACTCTACACTCCCTTTAACTGCAGTTTGGAGCTCCTAGGCCAGCTCCATTGGCAGTGCCAGGGTCGACCACTCCTGTGAGTCCACTATCCAGTCTCAAGGATTCTTTGCCTATAATCTGCCTCTTTGCTCTTCTGCATAAATAAGGCTCTTCTCTCCATTCACTAAACCAGCAAAAGTGATGTTTCTCTACAAAGAGATCATAATTCTTAGCGTGTTACATGGCAAAGGTGCCGAACTTCTGTCACTCCAAGGGCTGAATTCCATTTCAGAGGATTTTGCAGGGCTGCATTGGGTGAGTGTGGGGCAAAGAGTGAAGTCAGGTGTACTGAAAACACCAGTGTATTTTTGCGTAAAACCCTAACTGTCAGTAGCCAAGCTATAGGAGAGGCACTTCGGTCTTTTAGAATGGAGGAGAACTGCTCAAGTGAGCAACTGTCAAATGATTGGGGGAACCCAGCATGCTGGATTTGGCCTTTGAGCCTGAGGTTGTATAGTAACCAGCACTGGCACCTATTCTGATGGATAGTAACCAGCCCTCCCCATGCTGGTGCCCTCCAGAGCTGTTGGACTACTACTCCTATCATCCACACTCAGCATTACAATTCACTATATTTCACACATCTTTATTAATCTTGCTGTGGCCTCACAGTATAACATTACAAATACAGTAAATAAACACTAATACATATGTTACCCTGATTTTTTTCTCTTTTTTAAATCTCCTCTTGAAGAAGTATTTAATGTTTCTTCTTCTGTGTAACATCAGAAGTAGAGGAAAATGTGTACAATGGCTGTATCAGTTTCAGAATGCTTTGAGCCCTCATGTTCTTCACGTTCTCTCTGGGGACAGGACTGCAGGCATGTGAGCTGGCGATAAGTACAAGAACTGTTTGGGCACGCTGTCCAAATGGGGATATTGCACGGCGGTACGGCATCACCTATAAAAATCCTGCCGGAGACTACTGGAAGAAGATCCCCGGCAGTGTCGTTTGTTTGACAGGTAAGTGGGCTCCTTGACAGGCTTGGTGGTCTTATGCAAACTGTGGGGGGAATTCTGGCAATTTGCTCTTTGAAAGGTGAAGCAGTGCTGGCCTTTTAAACATCAGTTTGGCTTCTCAGTTTCACAAAGCCCAAGTCTAAACAGGAGTATTAATTTGCAAGTGACTCTTCTAGAGCTGTTTAAACATTGCACTGCATGAGCACTGGGTTTGTAGACAGCTTTGCAGTTTGATTACAAAGGGGCAGGAGGAAGAGACAACAAAAGTCCAAACCATCACTTGAAGCACAATCCTATGGATGTTAGGCAGGAAAAAGGCCTACAGTTCCCAGCTGTGGTGACTTGGGCATGCTGGGATTTGTAGGCCTTTGTTCTGCCTAAATATGCATAAGATTGCACCTTTAGCCTGCACCTAGCATAAATCCCCTTTTTTTCCTGCACTGACTTACCTCTTTTCTGGGTGATAGCTAAATTGCACCTACCTGCTGTTTAAACATGTGCAGGTAGGTGAGATGAATACCAGCACATATGCAAAACGACACCAGCCTAATCTTCTTCATCCTATCCTCAACTTGAAGAGTGCCCCTCTTCTGTTTCTATTTGTTTCTTCATTTCTTTAATTTTGGTGACGTTGCAAAACAGTCTTCCCCAGCCTGGTGCCCTCCAGCAGTTTTGCATTGTAGCCTCAGGCATTTCTGGCTATTAGTCATGCTGACTGGGCCTAAGGAGAGTTGAAGTCCACAACTGCTGCTGGAAGGCACCAGGTTGGGGAAGGATTTTGTAAAAGACAGTAGGGGATGGGTGAGTGCAGACCTAAAGGAGAATCACTGAATTAAATGGGGCTGAAGTTGATCCTGTTGCTTTCAGCAGAGGTGTTCTGAGACTTACTCTGGATTAAATTCAAGGCAGAGTTGCAGGTGGGAAGGGATAGACTTTTTGGTCAGGAGTTTGCCTGCTAGCATTCCAGCTGAATCTTATAACCCTTTTTCCCTCAGTTACTCCTGCAGATGTCCTGTGGGGAGTTGGTCCTTCTGGATATCTCCTCCAGCGTCTCACAAAGACCTTCCACCATTCTCACACCTTGCAGAAACAAAGCGATGCATCTGTGTCCTTTCACCCTGAGGATTTTGAAGATGAGTGGGAAGTCATATGAAGTCCTCAAGGATGCAGAACTGTAAAATAGCAAGAAAACATGCTTGGGAATCCTGTTACATGCCAAATGCCAGGCTCTTAAAGCCCCAGACATTTGACAATATTAGCACTTTGGTATATTAAAAAAAACCCTGACTTGTCCAATAGCCCCAAATTGTGTAGTGAGGTGTCTTGTTTCAGTATCTCAGGTGAGACAGGCAATGTGGCTTAAAGAAATTGTGAACTTGTCATGGTTATAGTGATTCTGTTTTGAAATATAACATGTCAGTTTAACCTCATTAGCAGCAAAACTGTTTTGCTCTAGCATGCAGGCTAATATCTGTGCTACATTGGGAAGGACGTGCATTACATTAACTATTTTTCAACACCAGGAATGTGTTTAAACTTTCTTCTTGTACTTCAGAGTCTGAGTAGAAGGAAATGGATACACTGTGGATGGAGATCGCATTTCAGTTTCCCCTTCATAAAAGGAACAATATATGTTTCTTGGTAGAAAGTCAAATCAGTGGTGTTCCAATGAAAATATTTTGGGATAATTTTAATTGTAACCTCTCTGGTTCCTTAAACTTTTGCTTTGTGATGAACTGGGTTAAAAAGGAAAACCTAGTTTCATTCATTACTGGGGAGCTTGGTTTTATCTCATTCTTGTTGGAATGTTTGTTCTCTGTATACATACACCAGGACATTAATGGCTTTTGTTCCACAGATACCTAGGAGAGGGTTAGAAAGAACATTGTAAGTCTGGCTTGTAGAATGACGGTAGTTCTGTGGGTGGTATTTATACCACACTTAGCCTGAAAGAACTGTGCCTGTAACCAGAGGAGATTCTTAGTTCCCTTTTTGTACCATAATTTAGAATAAAAACTGAAAAAGTGCTAATAAAGAAATGTATCCCATAAGTATGTGGTATTTGTCAGGATTTGTCTCTGCAATGATCAGTTTTTAGCTACATTAGCTAAATATTGCAATATCTTACGTTTGAGAAGTTTACAGCACAGGTACTTTATAATCTACTAATCCTTACAGCATATATTTCATGAAGCTTAATTTTCTTAAAAAAACAGCTAAGAAAAATTGTAACTTCCAGTAGCTTAGGATTGTAGTATTTTATATCTGTTTATTTGTGGCTTCCTTGGAATCTTGTAAGCAGCTGCTAATGAATCTGCAAATGAGCCAACTTCCACTGCAGTGGGGAATGTGTGAATCTAAAGTGGAGGTGAAGGGACTTTTTTTAAGCTTTCCAGTGCTATGCGGAGAGCTGATGCAAACCAGAAAGATGGATACTCTCCATACAGAGAAATAATGTTGGTCACTAAAAATACCTGGTTTGCAACCGCACTTGCATAAGGAGTGCTCGATTTTCGGTCTGCTCTTAGTTTATGGCGACGAGGAGGTCATATTTGTTTGAGAGCTGATCTGTTTTGCCTGATAACTTCTTCATCTATATATGGACCTGGCCTCAGAGTTTCCTTTTTTAGTCTGTCACTGGATTGTGACCAATGTAGCTGCTCAAGTTTACCCCGTTCATTTATTAGTAGGCTATTTTGAGGAGCCTCTCAGTGAGGGAATCTCCAAAGTTGTAAACACACACACCTCCTTTGAAGTTGGAAACTTCTGGGAGATGCTGTCAGCAGTATTTTACACTCCTCCCGGCCAAATGTTCACATTACAGTAAAATACTGAAAAAATAAATGACATTTTGTATAGATGTACACTTTTTTACAAAGACCTCTTGGCAGCAGCTTAGCTTGCCAGCTGCTTTTGTTCCCTGTACTAGTGCACCTTGCCTTGTTCATGAATATAAATGGGTGTTGACAGCCCTTCCAAGTCAATGAGATTGTTTTTGTATTGACTGATCTAATCATCAAATGCTTACCATCCTTATTTTCATTTTTGTACATTTGTGTTTTGCCTCTGTGTTCAGTGCAATAAGCTTGTCTTGTTCTTAAAGCAAAGCGAAAAATCTCTTACATTTAAATATTTGATAAAAGAATGCTAGATTGGCTTTGCAGGACAGTTTAATGAGGGCTTGCACTGACACTAGAGAGCGTACTTGGGGGTCTCACGTAAGCCAGGTGCTCAAACAGAGAGTGATGCCCTATAGCACTTTGTTCCTGTCCAAGAGCTTTTACTTGAATCTTAAAGAATTCCAACTTTTGGCTTTATTTAAGCATGTCGTAGCATTACTACAAAGATTGCAATGAAAATATTACTAAACATTTGAATAAAGGAAATAACCAAAAAGATTGCATTCATTTTTGAACCACCTCTTGTGATTTTGAAAACATTTGAGTTGTGGTATTTACTCTGCTTCACAGTGTACAAGCATCAGAACAGAGCAGTCCAAGGTCTCATGTTTTCACCCTCTTATGGATTAACTTCCGTAGCTTGATGTGCATTTAGATTCAGATGGATAAGACACCTGACTGCCCAAACATAAGAGTGCATGCTACTCTGCTTCCATTTCTATTATAGCTATAAAACTTCTAACAAAGACCTTGAAACAACATTAGGGGGATGATGTGGACTTAAAAGCTAGAATTTCTTGAATAGACCAGAGCAAGATTGGTGATTTTATTATACAAAGGAGATTATCTGGTTGGAAGCCCAAAAAAAACAAAACAAACCCCAGCAAAGTGAGTATTTAGAACTGTAAATCCTAAAATGGATTGCTGTCTTGCTATAAAAGCGGTATGAGTGCTGGACACAGGACAGGTACAGTTACGAGTTAATGCATGGCTAGTTTTGAAGCAATTTGCTGTGGAAAGCAAGTTAAATAGTCTGTGCCCAAGTATAGTTATAAAGTGAATCTGAAAATGCTGTTGCCACAAGGGCAGGGGAATGACCACCCCAACTATACAACCATATTTTCAGTAAAGCCAAATAACCTGATACAGCAGCCGGTATCTTGAGAAATCAATCGGATGTTTACATACCCTTTCATTTTCTTTACATGCTTGAATGTACATACCAAAATGCAACATGCACACATGTTCTTCTAGAGCCAGGGGAGCATTTCCCTTAAAAACCTGCTCCACCAAACTATAAAGCAACCTCTTGAGAGAGAGGCGTAATTCTGTAGGTACGATCTCTTTACACCCAATCATGAGTATGTTTTGCACTTGATACATAGGAAATCCCCATTCTGGATCTCGCTCTGACGGTCTAGGTATCCTCTGAAGCTATTGCAGGCACGTTCCAGGGACCTTGTGCCTTGCAGTGGGCCCCAGGCATCCCTGCCCCTCCTGAGCCATGCTGCTCGGGGAGAAACAGATCGGCCTTTCTTCCCTGCCTGTCCTCTGCATTTCCAGACTGGATGTTGAAACAAAGCCTCTTGCTCGGCACCTGATACCAAAGGCAAAGGGAGGAATGGGGGGTGGGCCTCTAGAACAGCCTTCCCCAACCTGGTGGTCTCCAGAGGCTTTTGGACTGCAACTCCCTGAATTCCCATCCAGCAGGGGCATTGACTGGGAATTCTGGGTGTTACAGTCCAAACAAGTCTGGAAGGCGCAAGGTTGGGTAAGCCTGCTCTAGGGGGAAGGGTCTACATCACGGGTCTTCAAACTACGGCCCGCGGGCTGGATGCAGCCCGCCATGCCCATTTATCCAGCCCGCCTCAGAGGTTTTGGATGCGCTACGCACACACATGCACACCACCCTCCTCGCTCGCCACGTGAGGAGGCAGTGGCTTGCGTTTTGGACTCAGAGAAAACCATCGCCCCCCGCCCCCCATGGAAACGTTTGAGGACCCCTGGACTACATGGATAAATGAGTGGAAGGTGACTCTTTCCTCATTTTTGGCTTTAGTTCCACCTACTTTCAGTTCATCCCCCCCATCACAAGAATGTGGCCCCCTGACACATACCCCGAGGGAATGTAGGCCTCTGCTTTTAAAAAGTTTTCCAGCCCTGGTTTAAAAGATCAGTCATGAAAGGTAGAAACCTGTTTTGCAGCCATCCCTATTGCTAGTAATAAAATGTGTAAACGTCAGAGGGATAATGTACTTCGGTGGAGGCCAAGTCAGGTACACTGCAAGCACACGGATGCCCACCCCTGGTGAAAGGTATGCTTTGCCCCTCTGGCTCCCAGTCAAATTGACAGCACAATCTGGTACAGGTGTAGAAAGGTTCTGCAACAGCCACCCAGATGTAGAAAGAGTTCTTCGAGAGAAGGAAGTATGAAAAGAAGTGGGTGTTGATCTAGTAATCAGGAAACAAAGATGGACGTTTGGGCTGTAATAAGGTAAGTGGCCCACAAACACTACTTAGGTCAGGTATCTTTTAAAATAAACAGATTCAGTTCATTATGGATTTTAGCAAAGCACTCTTTACACAAGAGAGATGAAAGCAAGCAGCATAAGATAAGTGTATTTTACAGAAGTGTTAAGATATCTTGAAATGTCATGCTGACCAAAAAAAGTCAGAACAAAACTTCAGGAGATTACACATACAGTAACATTTATACTACTGGTCAAGTGCACAGAAGCTGTTGCATAAAATGTGGTGAAATTACTGCTACTTTTCCAGTCCAGTTGTTGTTGTTGTTGTTGTTGTTGTTGTTGTTGTTGTTAGAACATTTCTATGCCGCCCCTTGCCGAAGCCTCGGGGCGGCTTACAAACACAATAAAATACAATAAAATACAAAAATAACAATATAAAATTAAAATTAACACTATAAAATAAAAATATAAAATATATCTTTTGCAAAGACCAAAATTCCAGATTCAAAATAAGACCATCTATCAATCTGAGCACGTTCCAAAGATTCTGTCCTCCCTGCACTTCTGGGGCACAGTTGTTCCTTCTGTGCAGCCCATATGTCCCTCGCTTCTCATGCAGCTGTGCAAAGTGTCTGTGATATAGGAAGAAAGACACATGAGGGTGAATGAGAGCAGCAGGTTTTTCCTGTTGCATGTGCTTAAAGAGCATTACATCTGATAAAAATTTTACGTCTTAAATGAGGTAGAGGAAGTGTTGCAATTTGATCCTCTTTCTATGGTGCTGTTGAACTCGACTTGAGACTATTAGAGAAGCCATGTTGGATCCGGCCAAGTTCCATCTGATTCAGCATTCCGCTCACATGATAGCCAACCAGCTGCCCACTTGACACTCACTAGCAGGATGTGAATGCAGCAGCACCTTCCCATTCGTGTTCCTCAGCAACTGGTGTATACTGGAGAGGACTTCTGGGACTATTCAACACTGCCAGCCTTATCCTCCATGAATTCATCTAATCCTCTTAAAGCCATCCAAATTGGTGACCCGTTGTCACATTCTGTGGTATAGAATACCACAATTTAGCTCTGTACTGCATGAAGGAAGTTAATTCATTTTATTTCTTCCAAGTTTCCCATCAATTGTCTTCATGGGATAACCCCACTAGACCCTACTGTTAGGACAAAGTGAATAAAAATGTCTTCTATCCAGTATCTCTGCACAATAGATACTTTTGTACAGCTTTCCTGTCTACCTTTCCTTGTCTTTTTTCTAAGCCAAACAGACCCAGACATTGCTATCATTCCCCATAGAGGACTTGCTCCAGTCCCTTAATCAGTTTGGTTGCTCTTTTCTGCATTTTTCCAATGGTACACGGTATTCCAAGTACAGTTCGTTCAGTCATCTTGACCAATGGCTGGAGTGATCAGAGCTATACCCCAACAACACCTGAAGGATACACATTCCCATCTCTGCCTTCATTTATCAGTGGTGCTGCCCAGGATCAAGGTGTGCTGATGACAAGACAGCCCTAGAGAGGTTCAACCCAGCTGGCTTTCTATGCTCACAGGTGTGTCCAAAGCTACAATTAGCCAAGCACCAAGACTGGAAGAGGAAGGGAAAGAAAAGCAAACTGGATTTCAACCACATTTCCAAAAGAAGCAGCAGTTGCTGCAAGATGGCAACTTAGTGTTTGAAGTATAATCAATCTCACATAAGTGCTTAATAATGGAAATCACATTAATTTCTAATGAGGACAATTTTGTTACTGTTGCTGTAACTATAAAGTGAATTAATAATGACTTCAAATGTTTCCCAGCTATATATCACTTTTCAGATAAGCTTGTGAAAAACAGGCCACTCATAATAGGCAGAAATCAGCTCTTTAATGAGCTGGTAGGGCCTTCCTGACAGTTTTGGAAATTAAGGAATGTCTGTCTAGCAGGTTTTTTCCCCTTCCTTGATGCAGGAGTAAATAGATTTTCAGTAGACAGCTTTAAAACAGCAACTATGGCAGACCATTTAAAACTTCCGATTATGGAGAAGCAGCAGTGAAATTAATGTCCCCCTGGTGTCCCTAGCATTGCATTACCAAAGGGGTTTCCTAAAGTTTATGTGAATTCTGTGATAACATAAACAAGTCCAAAATCAATTTGCTGTATTGTTTGCGCTGTCAGTTTTTCTGTCGTCCACTTTTGAACACCTTCAAGTGCCGTTTTATGGCCTGTGGCCTCACTGTTCGAAAGCCTCCAAACTCGTGCTTTTCTGGGAGCTTCATGCCCTGCTGGACTGAAGCTGGTAGGGTGGGAGAAATGGCAGGGGTGATCTTTGCCTTCCCCGCCAAACATCTCCGGTCTCCTCCATTCACCAGAATGTCCCCTTTTCCTGAGATCACTCTCTTGACCCCGAGAGCAGCCAGGGTGGTTCTTTGCACTCTGGCTGCAAGTGGAGGGGGTGGGGGGGTAGGAAGTCCGACCTCTGGCTCCCTTGTCAAGGTCTGACCTTGGAGAATTTTCCCAAGCCACCCAATGTTCCATCGAACTTTTGCTCAGGGATCATAGAATAGGTCTTTCTGGAAGCAAACTGAAGAACAGCATGTGAATATTGGTTTGAGTCCATGGTACCCTTCTGTCAGAACGAGGGAATCTTTTGGGAACCATTCATTATAAATAAGACAGAGTGGGAAGTGGGATTCATGACTAACATGCCTATACACTTCTGTGCTGCTTTCCATACTTGCTTATTTTCTTTCTCGGTTAAAGAAAAAAAGTTGTCCAAGATGCTTTCTATATGGAAGCTCCCTCAAAACTGAGGCTTCCTGGCAACATTTTCAAGTGCACAATCCAGAACTCAGCCATCCAATTCTATGCAAGAATCTTGTGACACCACTGAATATATAGCGTGAACAGCACAACAGGAAAGATGCATGAACAGCGCAACGCAGGCAGGCTTGTATAGAAGGAACAAGTGCAGACCACAAACCTCTTAAATGATGTTCTATGCAGTTCTTAAACTGCAAAGCTAGTACTA